TTCAACTGGACTGGAGCGCAGTGATTACGCAAACGCGATAATTAATTGCTTGTGTTCTCTGTTTAATGGCTCGTCAGGTCGTTTGCTAAACACGCCAAATCGTTGGGACGTCACGAAAATCGCTACAGGTGCATCGTTGCGTGACTAAGCTGTTAATTTTCCGCAGTTGCGCAACTGTCGATCCCTCCGCCCGCACTCTTAGATGATGAGAGACATCAAAACGTATACTACGACATTCATTTACTAGCATGCTCATTTACGTATGACCTTGTTCCCCTCTGACTCTTCTACAAAAACTTTCTTGGAATTATTTTCCATACATGTCCCAGATGTTCAAACGACCATTTTATTACATGCGTTGACTCGATAGGCCACTTTGACAACGTTACGACAAACTGTAGATCATCATTAAGTACTAGACTTTAAGTATAGTAGTAAAAGCCATTCCATTGTATTTAATCATTTATTTATAACCTTGACCAAGATCAATTCTCTTGTATTCATTTTTTTCAACTTTCCACAAAGTTTTTTAATTAGCAGTATTCTGAGGTGTGGGATAATTTTAAATATGAAATCATTTGATATTATAAAAATTTTAATGAATCCAAAACTGTAAAAAGATAAATTTTAATTGTTACGAAAATCAATTTTTAATATTTTTGATTAAGTAAAACAACATGTGATACTTTAATTAATAAAAAAAAATCTTCTGTAACTTGATAATTTAGAACATCATACGTAATAAACTATTTTTCTATATCGCAAATACAATTAAAAGTAATAGAATATATATGAACATCAATACAATCATCTAAGGAGTTTTATACAATGAATTGCTAGAATTTATTCTAGAAACTTGAAAGTTTTTAATTACTCATTTTCCTCTTAAAAAACAAGGTATATAAAATTTATCTATGTAAACTTGATTATATTTTATTTTATTCGAAAATTATTATTGCAATAAATAAATTTATCACCTAGACGTTCAGTGAATGAAAGAAAATTTATAACATTGATTATGCCAACTATTTAAGAGCAAAGTCCAACCACTGAAAAAAATCATGTTTTATTGAAGTATTATTTACTAATAGTTAATACAAAATTTTAACTATAAACATAACATATTAACTATAAATAAATCTTTTTTCAGTGACTTTGGTATGTTTACTATACATATAGTAAATTTTGAGTTCCTTCAGCAAATGAAAATAACACAACCAACGTCAATGAAATAGTAGCAAAAAGAAAAAAATCTTAGCATAAAAGTAAAAAAAGAAGAGCGTAAGTCTGAAGGTTTAGTTCACAATATACGTAAAATGGTGATGCAAGAATACAAGAGAGAGATATACAAAAAGGGAGAAAGAAGGGATCGTCTACAACTATTATAAATCAAGAAAGGACTCTCAAAGAAGAAAAGGAAGTGTACATGAGTGAGAAAGACAATAAGAGGGTGAGGGAGGAAGCTGGCGTTGCGGTCATGGCCGTACATCACCGTTGGTATTTACAACGCACCATCATAAATCAATGATGCACATGAGGCAGTACAGTTTAACTAAATTCTCATCTCGATTGTTTTAAGAATTCTCACCAATTGTTTTTTGCTTTCTGTCAACTCTCAGGAAATGCCGTATTATAAAACCACATTTTGATTAATAACTTGATGTTATAATAACTACTTTCAATTCAAATTAGACTCATGTGTTACTATTTTCAATGATTTATTTTTACGCCAAACTTAGCGACATTTTTCAATACATTGAAAAATTAATTCCTTAGCTTCATTTCTTTATAAAAATTTTTGCGCTTTGTGGCTCCCTATAAAGAAAAGAGTGAAGAACAAACTATTGAAATTGAATATCGATACACAGTTGCTTTATGCCAGGTAATAGCTCGCTAGTACGAGTACAGTCGGAAAGCATGCCAGTTTTGAACAACCTATTTACAAATACGAAATATGAATAACTTTTTCTCATTAATTTCATCGTTTTATTTATATTTTATATATAATGTTTTTGTGTGGAAACATCGCTTTATACAAATATTTTCACCGGTATAGCCGTTTGAGCTAATTCAGTCAAGGTTATAACGTCTTTCGAATTTACTCGAACATTTCTAGTTGACGTACGTACAATATAATAACTCTACTGATCGAATAAAAGAGTTTATTGTGCAATAAAAATTTTTTATAAATTGTTTTATTAAATTTATTGTGCATTAATATTATTGAAGTTTTTTTACAATAGGTTTTTTTACAAGTTATTATTTAGTTGATTTTACTATTCAAAGCTCGACTGGATTACTCCAATTTGATTAGTTTTGACAATTTTTTCAAATCTAACGGAAAATATTTCATTATAAAATCAAATAAAACTAGAATTTTAGCTTCGAAAAAAGTAAAATACAACCCACATTTAACTGCGGCAACACGTTTCGAAGGAAAATTTAAACTGTGGGGAATTTTCCGTTCTGAAAGTATAAAAATTACCATGAAAAAAATCTGTCAAATTCATGTTTTTTTGAAGGTCATCGTTACACATTGATTTAACATCATAAAAATAATAGATGTTTTGAATTTAATTCTAACTCACTCAATAAAAATATTTATTTAATATAAAAATGTGTTATATTTAAAACAAAAAAACTATCACTAAAATTAAAATATTTTTTTGTTGTTGAAATTCTATTAATACTTAAGAGAAGTATTTATTGTTCATCCTCCAATTGTTGATAAAGGTATTAGTAAATGAGTATACAATATAATGATCTTACATATCATAAAATAGAATAGTAAAAAAAAAATTCGAGCAACCTACTTAACGTGTTCACAGTTATTCATTCCAACTCGAAATTTAAAAATACAGAATTTCTAAGACTTGTGCGACCCTACTACGTGGTATGTTTGAGATTTACATACTCACACGATCAATTCAGGCCGTATGTACCAACTATCGTGTATCATTGAAAGCGGATCAACCATTTTAGGCACAAGGGCACCCGCAGGCAGACGTTACAAGTTTACAAACGATATCCCTACATCACTCTATATGGCATGTGTAGTAACAAAATATGTGTACTGATCGAAGAGAATATCGCAACCCCTAGGGATAATTCAAATGCTCCATGCGTGACCTCACAACTTCTCCTTTGTTACTGATGTGTCAAAATATACCTACTTTATCAAATTACCATACACTCCAACAAATTATTTCTAACATCCCTGATAGACAAGAGTTGAAATTTGACATCAATTTGAGCTCAATATGTAGTAATACATACACATTGAGCTCAAATTGATGTCAAATTCCAACTCTTGTCTGTCGGGAATTGATTGACTGGATACATAAAACGTAATTAAAATTTCGAAAGAAAGGAAATAAATAGAATAGAAAGAAAAATAAAATAACTATTAAATAAGAAATAAAGATAAAAAGAAATATAAAAATCCAACAAATTCTTTCCACATTTTATTGCTCTAAATTGTATTCTCGTTTTCGATTTACTTGGCTAGATAAAATTGAATTGCGAATTTAGGATTTAGGTAATTTAATCTCATCAAAGGATTATACTAAATCAATTGCAGGATTCTCTGTATTAGTACAACAAAATAAGGCACAGCTCGTCTTTCCTAAAATAACGTAAAGGCAAATGACATCTCATATAACCTTTATAAAGGCATATAGAAATCTACTGTAAGACTGAGAAAGGAAGTTTGACCTGGTCTTTCTCTGCCTACTAAGCCTCGTTAAAATGATCCTTTCCGCCTGAATACTAACGGCGGGTGGCCAAAGTCATGGTTTAAAAGGTATTTAAAGGGCTGCAAGCAAACAATGCTTAGATTTACAAGGAAAAGAATCTAGTTTGTTAACTTTTACTAAACCATGTCGCATTATCATTCGTTTTTTATGACTTCCTGAAAGTCATCGAATATAAACTTATTACGCTTTAAATAGTTTTTAAGAAAATTTTTTATTAATATATTATCAACAAATTATTTTTGTTGTATACATAAAACATTAATTGAAAAAAAAAATTGTTTTGGAATTCAATAAAATAATGAATTTTAATTATTTGTATTATAGTGTATATGTATAAAATATGTATGAAAATGTTTCCAAAAGAAATTTAAGAGAAAGTTCATTTCATTATGTTCAGTAATCATTCAATTTTTAATATTTATACCGTTATTTTTTAAATAAAAATCAATTTAATATTCCAAATAATCATCATCTAATTATTTCTACATCATAAAAAACAACTGCACTTCTCATATTTATTTTTAAATCCAAACTCCAATAATTAGTCATTACACACTACAATCGAAAAACTTGATAATAATATACAAGAATGCTATTTGTCTACACCAGTACACATAATGATATGACGTCCCTGGAAATAATTTGAATACGTCATTTGAATCAGATATGATGTATGAAAATGAGAAAAAAATACATAATAATAATAATAAATATTATAATGATAATAAAATATGAGAAGATAAAACAAAGATACTTGAGAACAGTACTCATGACCTGAAATGTTTGACTACAAAGCAGAGTTCAAAAGCAACGACAGGGAGGATTCTTTCTCATGGGAATTACCATTGTCTCTCCAAGCTGTCAGAGAGTTCCGGCTGACACGAAGTTGGTGGTAGTCGAGCGCAAAGCCGAGGGGAGAACACGAAACCTTTTAGTTACAAATTTGGCACGACCCGAAACGCTCAACACAACCGAACCATACCGGTAATACACCCTTGAACTTTAGCTTTTACCGTGTGGTAAACTTGTCTTTCCCAGTGGGTGAAATAGCGCATCAATGATAGTCGAAAGTTCACGAAACCACTTGAATGAATGTGGAATAAGTTTAAGAGAAATTAATTGTTGGTCTCATTCAAAATTCATTCAAATAATTATTTTGGTAAACATGACAGGCAAAAGACTTGTATAATTATTAGCATGAAAAATAAGCCATTGACATTAGATTATTATAATAAAATAATTCACCTGATATATATGATGACCCGGTCGGTGCATATCCTCTTCCATCCGCGAGGTGCAGCAATGGACGCCTGTTGCTGTTGCTTTTGTTGATTCTGCGTCACCACACTACCGTTCATAGTCAGCGCAACATTGTTGCTGTGTTGCGCGCTAACTTGAGGCACCAAGCACGCAGACGGCTGCGCACAGACACTATTATTGTTCACTGATTCGTTAGATTGTAAATTTTGACACTCAGGGCTACTAAGGCTGCTAGAATAAGCAGATTCCGCAGTATCTGAACGTACCGATTCGCACCCAGGATCTGTAGTAATGACACTATGTTCAGTTCGACTATTTAGATCCAATGAATCTTGATTATTCACCCGAATTTCCTTACAAATATCTCTTTGCTTTTGTGGATCAATTAACTCTTGAGTTCCACCAAGGAATACATTAGTAGACAGTTGACTGCCTACGTTTTGACTAACATAAGTGATTCTATTTTCATCAAGATTACCGGTATTAATACAATCAGTTTCATTTCCTGCCCCTCCTGTTCCAGTGTTTTGATAAGTTTCTGATAAGCGAGAAGTTGAATAGCCAGAATTGCACGTGACTTCGTAATGAGTTGAAAAAGTTTTTGGATCTTGCTCACCAACTATTACAGCATTATTAGACAATGCAGGTCTTGATATTACTGATGTTGTAGCTACCCCTGAATCACTGGTGCCACTAAGACTATCAGCATCACTATGTGTTGGACTTCTTAAACCTCCAAGACCGCTAGAAATATTTCCCAAAGTGCCTAAATCTATTTTTTCCACGGAATTGGGAGAGGGTACTACTCTCCCATTCGTCAAACTCACCAAAGAGCTTTGATAATTAGTATTAAATTCTTCCTCCTCTTTTGTTGATTGATGTTGCTGTTGATTAACAACAACATCGCAAGAGACCAGCTCTAAAGTTTTTCCAAGACAGTAATCAGTATTAGGATTAACTTCATTATCTAATTCACTGTTGTTGATAAAATTAATCTTGGTTGGAAATGTTGGTTGTGTGGCCACCTGAGGTAGCACATCTTGGTAAGGATTTTGTTGCTGCTGCTGACCCGATTGATAACTTGTCGATGTTTCAGCATTATGCCCTACGGCTGTTGTATAAGCAAAGTTCTCGCCAGGAACATAGACCAACACGCTATTGTGTTGGATACTTTGAGGCTCGTGTTGAGATATTTGCTGATGTTCCTGTTGATGATTTCGACGATTAATTTGATTATGATGATGGTGATGATGATGTGTTTGTATATGTAAAGAGTGATGCTGTTGATAATGTTGCTGATGAACGTGATTTTGGGGAGCAGGGTGAGAGATGGGCTGCTCAGGCTTGCCGGCCATGGTCCAGGTCCAGCAGTGAAAAGTGCCGCGCCACCGACATCACTGGAACATACAGCGCACGCCTCCAATACTCCACTAGCCCCTGCGGCATCCTCTAAGTCACAAATGAAATACTCATTATAGTATTCAATTGCAAACAGATATTGGTTTAAAATAATTACGAAATTTTCATTCTATTCTATTGCAAATTTTCATTTTTGATAGTAAATAATTTAATAATTTATCATTGATAATAAATAATTTGTAAAAAACTTTCATTTACAGAAAATTTGTCAATTTTTATAAAGTATTTTGAAATTCATTATAATTTATTTATTTATTTATTTATATATCATAACTTACGGATTCATTAAGAGTACGATATAATTTGAGTAAATGCAATATGATATTGAAATCGTAACTTTGCACATAAATACCACGTGAAATTCGTATGTTTACAATACTATGATTATTGGAGTATTTGCAACGACAAACGAGAGCAAGGTCACGTTTAATCGAGCTGTCACTTGAGCATAAGAACTTGAAAATAAAAAAAATAGCGAAAAAAAGTTATACATACAAGACAGTGTCAGCGGTATGACACATTAATAGTAAACAAGTGATAATATGTAAGACGAGCCGAGAGTCGAGAGAGTAAGAGAGGGAATAAATTACCTATGGCGTAACAGCTTGTACCGTGCATTGGATGCATATGTACGAACTGAATCGTGTTGAGCGAATCCCGTTGACATTACACACGCGAGTGTTTAATCCGAAATGTAATATTGCACTTATTATTACAGTTCACACCACTCTCTTCACTTAGTTCACCAGTACACTTTTGAGATTGTCACCAAAACACGACTGTTTTTCTTTTCTTATCTCTAATAAAATCACTTTCTCGAGCTAATTCGAAACACGTAGTAAATAAACCAACTACGACGCGAGTAAAATCGATTTTGATGCTCACTCAAGGACGCAACTGTAGAAATACAAACACCGGTGTGTTATTTAAGAATTGAAAATACACGACACTCATCACTAATAATTCTTTTTTTATTTCAAATTGAAAATTTTTGCACATAATCCAAGTAGTGTACACATGAATTTAAATAGAGGTAAATTTTGTAAGTTATGAAGGTCACAATGTATAGATATAATTAATATTTTTAATTTGATTAAGGACGAAACACACGTCCGCGAGATGAAACGTTAAAACGCAACACGAACGGACGAATGTCGTGTTATGACGTCTGTGTCATCGTCACACCAGCAGCACCGACACTACCATCTCCATTGCCACTACAACACCATCTCTCCACTTACCACACCACCACTATAGTTGTAGTCGACGAGTCCCGATCTTGGGTTAAGTTAACTAACCCTCTCTCGTACTCTCTGAACACCTGCGCGGGCCAACAGCGCTTCAATTTTTTTTTCCTTTATATTATAATATTAACCACACTTTGTTTCTTGATCGTCTGATACACCAATTCCTCTGACAACACACACGACGTTCTCAATTATTAATTCACAACACCTTTAAAAGCATCAAGGCCACCAAGGCCCGAGCTGTTACACGCGTTCTACCGACTATCGCTGCCAAGAACCGATAAAAATCCCATCCTGCGATTACTATACGTGCGCTGTTTTCGCGTAACTGATATTGGAAAAATATGGCTCCCTCTGCATACCCAGAGACCTTTGCGGCATCTCCACAGTTGCTTCTATAGAGCCACCCATGAATTCCACGTCCGTTGCGAAAACATTTGACTTATTTGGCTATTGTTCTGCCACCTATCATCAACTACCTTAATCTTACTATGCGTGCGCAATTCTAAACAATTGCGCTAAATTTAAAAACTGATGAAGCTTTTGACAAAAAATGAATGATTCAAGCATTGATAAATTGTAATAAAGGAATAATCAAATCACTAAAAATAAATTTTGAAAATCAATATAATTGTATTCAGAGATTTACTTAATATTTTAAAGGAGAAATAAACAATTATTCTTCTACAAATCAATTTCTATCTATTTCACCTCTATTAGCAGTAATTGTTTATCTATTCATTCTACAATTTTGTATTAGAATTAATTTAGTATTGAGTGATAAATAATTGGGATAATCATAATTTAAAACAATTCTACTGCGCATCAATATTGTTTCTCTTATTTTGATAAAATTTAAAAGAAAACTATCGGCTTAAAAATATTACTACAATCGTTTGAATACAAAATTATAATTTGTCCAGCCATTATTTAACATATGTCTATTGTTATAACTTCTCATTGAATGATGTAATGAATTTTTTCAAAATATGAGGAAAAGTCTTAAGTAAAATTAATTTTACACTTGAAATTATAATTCAGTTTACGTCCAATTCATTGATTAATTACATTTAAATTAACCCATATGCATTATAACAGCATAATTATGTTTTCTTTTATATGCAAAACGTTTCATGAATTCTAGGACAAAAAATTATTAATACACTTATTTACTGTTAACAATAACATACAGAAATGAAAAATAGTACGTTTCACATCTAGGGAGGAAAAATAGTCCAGCTCACCTTTGGCTCGGGTTATAATTTTACACGTGGTTTAAGCTAATCCTGTGTGGAAAGTTCAACCCCTCTTAAATGAAAAAGTGAACATTCCGCGTGGGTATGACGAAAAATAATTTCTCATAGCTATCTTAAATTACGTGTTTACCACCTTCATCTTCAGCTCGGGTTGTAATTTTACATGTGGTTTAAGTTAAACTACTTTTCCTCACTAGGTGTGAAATATTCTATAATTTTTAAATATATTTGAATGGAATTTAGTCCATTGGAATGAATACTTGAATTAGGTGTGATAAATTATATGAAATTATATAGAAAGGCTCACATTAATCAATTATAAGTGTGTGGACTAAATTAACATGTTTTCTTTTTAAAAATGATTTATCTATTTTGATACTAAATACTTGACTGAAGCTAATCGATCAATATTAACAAAAATTTTATAAATCATTAATTAATCGAGCCTTCAACTATTTTACAGAATTATTAAAGAATTACCTTGATTAAATATTGATTATTAATTTATTGACACAATGATTAGAGAAAAACAGTCAGCTTAATAAGAGATCTGTCACATAATATTTTCATTGTTATTGCTTTTTAAAGCACATTGTTTTTATTAATTTAATTACAATACGCTCCAATTAGCAATGTAGAAAACAAAAAATATCTTAATTCAGTTACATTAGAGGTTAAACGGTTGGCAAACATTTTTTTCATTTCAAATACTGCAATTAATCGGGTTTTTTATGCTGAAAGGTTATTACATCATCATGTCATTCTAATAAATTTATTTATTCAAACCTAAATGATTCTTACGTTGAATCCGACCGTACAACTTTAATCACGGAGTCAAATAGAAGAATCGAAAATTTATTGAAAATAAAAGTGTAAAATGGATCCTCACGTTGCTGAGTAGTTTTAATTATTTTAGAATCGATTAATGCGTAGCGCACTGTACTCTAGACCCTTTATCTTCATCATATGCTTCTCCTCGTTCACGTTGCTGTTGTGCTTCTAGCATTGGATCGAAATCTTCAAGAGTTACTTCTTCAGCACCATCAGGAATTATCGTTTGCTCTCTTGCTGGTAACAAATTTTCTAATTGCGGAATGATAGCTGGATCAATAGATTGAGGATATTCTACTACGAAACGAATTGTAAGTTTTCCTTTTGTAAATGGATCTCGATAGGTTGGCATACCCTCGCCAGGTATACATTTTAAGTCGCCGTGTTTGATAACCTGACCAGGAAGTGATGTTATTAAAAGATCTCTATCATCTAAAGTACGTATGACTTTTTGAAAACCGCATAATGCTTCTGTTATGGTCAAAGTCATGGTCAAAATCAAATTACTATCAGCTCGTCTGAAAAATTTTATGTAAAATTAAATAATAAGAATATTTTTCAATGTTCAAATTACTCTTATATAACTTTTAACTTATTAATTTCTAATTAATCCACTTTTTAATATTTATATTAATAAGAAATTAACAAAAATAAAGATAAAAAAAAATCTTACTTATAAATTGGATGTTGTTTCTCATCAAGTAAAATGACAATATCTCCGGGTTCTAATCCGGGTTCTTGATCTCCTTCACCACTAAAAACAATTTTCTGGCCATCAACCATACCGGGATCGACATGAACTTCCAAAATTTTCCTATCTCTGATAGTTTTTTTGCCACCACAATGTTTACATCGATCTCGTGGATTAATACGTTCGCCTACTCCTTTACATCCCGAACATTTGGTTTGTGTTTGTTGAACAATGCCAGGTCCAAGTTGATGAATTTGAAGTACAAAACCTGTACCATGACATGTTCCACATTGTTCTGCAGATCCTTTTTTACCTCCATATCCTAAAAATCATTGAAGATATAAATAGTAAATGTAAATAACTTACCTAAAATTCAATTGATCTTTCATTGCGTATACAATTAATAATAATAATAATAAAGTAACAGATGTAAAAATTTTACCTTCACATTTATCACAAACTATATTTTTTTGTAACGCAAGTTTTCTTGTTGTGCCCTTATAAAGCTCTTCAAGTGTAACAGATAACCGATGTACCACGTCTTGACCTTTCCTTACTCGTCGTCCGCCTCGTCCTCCTAGACCATGACCAAAGAAAACATCGAAAATATCCATAGGTGATTTGAAGTGATCACTGATTCCGCCCTCTTTAAGAGCCTGTTCTCCACCTTGATCGTAAATTCGTTTCTTTTCAGGATCTGATAAAACTTCATAAGCTTGTGATATTTGTTTAAACTAAAAAAAGAAAATGTTCATTATTTTTCATATCGATTTCCTAACATTGTAGTAATATATTATTTCACGTGATTTGATCAAGTTGACATACCCTTTCACCCTCATTTGGATTCTTGTCCGGATGGTATTTCAGAGCAAGCTTTCTATAAGCTTTTTTAAGGTCATCCTGCGTACATCCTGGTTTAACACCCAAAATGTCATAAAAAGTTGTTTCTTTTACCATCTTCACGAATAATATTCAAAACTTCAAGTTCTGTAAAACATAAATTTTTTTCTTATGAACCAATAATATCGTGAGCATTTTGATAACCATAATCAATTTAAAAATTATTTTTTATTAACTTTTATATAATATAATATGAAAATATAATAAAATACTAATAGTTTGAATGAAAATCGAAAATCTTGTATATATTATTTAAAACATTCTATTGATCTAAAAGATATTCATTCAATTTAAAAAAAATTGTCTGAGTATTGAAAAGAAAATATAAATGGAAACAAAGAAAAAATGATAAAAAGTAATGCCAAAAAAATAACACATGATTTATAAATATATTTAAAATAATTCTTCAAGTACTTCAATAGTAACAGAGTAAGGAATTGATATATTAAACGCAAAAATGGCCGTCGCAGCGTCACTAACTCTCTGGAGGTTTTTCAAAACCATTTCAAAGTATTGAAAGTACTTAGTACTAACTGTAATAGAACGATATTGACAAAACATGGTACTTGAAATGAAATTTTGTTTTAAGAAACAATCATTTTCTTTGCATAAAATTAGTGTTATTACTTTTTTTATAGATACTAAAGAAAAATGATTAAAACTGACGAAATTTCCACGTGACAAAGCAACTTCTTGTCAAAGAATATTGCAGAAAACTATGAGATTAATAAATGAATGCAATAGCAGATAGAAAAACATTATGCAAAACTTAATATATAATCAAATTAAATTTTTATGCTAAATTATACTTTTGTCATTGAAAATTTTATATAACGCAATAAATGCTAGGAAGTTGCTAGAAAATCTCAATATTTTCTCTATCACTGCTCAGAAGTGACATGAACATTTATTTAGTAAAATGGTATTAAATAATATTTCCTATTACATTTTTACATATGTATTGAATGTTAGACAACCCTTGAATGTATTTCCTAGAAATAAATCAATATCAAAATATCATTCATTACTTAGGCAAATAATTTCAAACAGACATTACTAAACACAAAGTACCTTCGAAACTCATCGTAAACTCTATTGATTGCATCAAGCTTTATAATTTTACAAAATTGAAACTTTTCGATTTCATATAAAAATGACATAAAATTTATACTTACCGTTTCGATTAAAGACAATAAATAATATTTACTTTACTAAGACCGATGGGTCTTAATAGGAATTGCAAGAAAATGTGGAAAATGGAGTATAATACTTGTATAAGCGTGCACTTTCAAGATATTACTACGGTCTTGGCATACGCCAGAGTTTCTCGAAAGTTCCCAATGGATTAATGGACGTCAGTTGTGCATCGACCAATAGAGTAAAGGAATAATGGCGCGAAAATAGAACCTCTATAAATTAACTTCAACAATATTCATTACTATAAACTTATTTTTACAATTACTTCGTGCTTTTTGATATTGATAATATGGTAATATTAAATCTTAATCATTATAAATAATTGAACTTATATTTTTAACCAAATATATTTTAAAATAAACAAATTTGTAGTAGAAATTAAAAGTAAATAATACTCGACATTGGCGTTTAGTTTCTGCCCCAAAGTGCTTAGAGCAAAATCGACGATCTCCGACTACATACAAATTAATTATATGTATTTACAGCTGTCTGTACAACTAACGTACTTTCTAGTTAAATTTAAATTTATTTATTTTGAAAATAATTTTTCATCTTTTATAAATGATCTACTTTTATATATATATATTATATTATTACATTATATATATATATATTATCACATTATCACATTATATATATATATAATGTGTTGTCTATATAATGTTATTTCTTCAAATTTTTCAGTATTATTAATCATTTTTTTTGTTTTTGCAAATTTTAAGAATAAATTTCAAAATTACTATATTCGATTCGGCCATATTCGCTAATGTTCGGTTCTGTTCTGAGCATTTTCGAGCAGAAACCGAATACACTATATGTGATGATAATCGTTTCACTAATAAATTATGACAGCTAATGAGTTATACACATTTGCGATAATTAACTTTATTTAACATCAACGATCTTATTGTTTTCAATTTATTATTTTTTAATATTGAGATTTAATAACAATGTAGTATAATATTATTTTTTTTAAACTTCTATTTTGTCTACAGTAAGAAGAGACATCTAGGCTATAAATTTGTTATTGTATTTTTATTGGTTAATAATTATGATTTGAACCAATTGAATATAATTTAAGATTTATCATGTAATGAGTCTCACCCTTGAAACGATGTAACATACTAACTTTAACCACCACTAAATTCAATTTAAACCATTTGTTCATTTCTTTACATTATCAACATTATAATAATAAATAAATGAATAAAATTTTATGATATTAACATTTTTAATAAATAATTGTAATCACAATATTGAAAGTAAATTTTGATAAAATCATTACACTAGTACACATTTATAAATTATTTAATTGTAAAATTCTGTTATAATAAAATGTGAGAAAATATCATAAAAATATATTGAAGATTTTTGCTTCTGATTGAAAAATCATCAGGAATCTATTGAGATTGACAAAAAAGTTAACTTAAACAATATATTCAGTATCTAGTATTTCTTTATTAAAAAAAATACAATAATTTCAAAACTGTACATTTATATCCGTCATATCTACACACGAAATTCAACAAACAACAGCAACAATTATAATAACAATTTTGTTTTGCTATATCAGTTGTTTTTTTAATTTCAGTTTTTTTATTAAAACCAATTCAAAAATATTCTAGATTCAGAATATCTATTTAGATCTAATGTTTCGAATAGAAAGCTGTATCTGAATTATTTGTCGTCGTAGATTCAGTATGATAATGATGATGATGATGGTGGTGGTGATGATGATGATGATGATGGTGATAATGATGATCTAATACTGGTTGATTTTGAAATTGTCGAGATAAAATAAAAACTACACATTCATAAGTTGCCATCATAATTGCTGTATTTGGTATTTGTCGCACTAATTGGGTTGTTAATCCACGGTATAATCCTTTGAAGCCTTCTTCATTATATATCATACTTACTGTTTGCCAGAAACTTGAATACTTTGTGCCTTCTTCTCTCAGTCTTGTTCTTACTACCTCTATATCAACAAAACAATATTACTTGTGTAAAAATTTTTACATAAATATAGCAAAAAAAGTATTTAACTCAAGGTTTCCTTTTTAATCATGTAATGTGCTATTTTTTAAATTTGTAGTTAAAAAAAATATTGATTACCATGTGGATAGGCAATACATGATGCTACAGTTTTTGATAAAGCACCAGCTGCCATAAATTCCAAAAAATCACGTGATGTTTTCGTTGATAGTTTTTCATTATCATTTTCATCATCTTTGTTATTATTTTGAATGCTATTATTGCTATCATTTACATGACCAGTAGAATTGGTGTGATTGTTTGAAGAAATTACTCTACTTGATCGGTGAGTCACTAACCAAGTTTTTACTGCTTCATAAATGACAAAATGTATCACGGTCTCACTTATGCCAACGTACGATGCTACAATCCCTTTATAAAATCCAAGAAATCCCTACATGACATAACAATTACATAATATTATTAACGCAATGTCTCTTACGTATTTATTTATTTATTTTTTTTAGTAAATATTAAACTATTAAAACTACCGATTGTTGATATATTCTCCTAATACAATCTCTAGTACTCATACGGTTTGCTTGATTATCTAATTGTAGTCGTGTTTTCACAAACCAAATCGGATTTGTTGCAGTACATGCTGTAAAGCCTGTAAACATGAAAACGTCAATCATAAGATACATAGAATTGTCAAAAGAATTTTTGTAAAATAAATATATATATATATATATATTAAGAATATAGAACGTTGTACTCCTATGAAAGAAGAAAATATCTCTTAAGAGAGAAGTTAAAAACCTCCAAACATTTATTACTAACCTGCACAAGATGCTGAACAAACATGAACTATTGCACTATCCGGAGGTAGAAAAGAATTAAAAAAACCCTTGCTTTGAGAGTATGTACAAAAGTAGATGGCACGCGATGGTGCAACGCCAATTAAATTTGGTCCAAGGCCTTTAAAGAGTGCACTAAAACCTTCATATTTGATAATATACCTCAAGCAATAAATGAGGCCTGGTGATGTTGGAGATGATGAATGTGGTGGTAATGAAGTTGATGATAAAAGTGGCGACGTTAAGGGTGTTGCCAACGGGTGACTGTAATGCAACTGTCCAGCTGCTGCAGAATTTCCAGAATTCGGTGAAGGTGTAACATTACAATGTGAGAGAGATACAAGAACGTGCCTATATATTATGATTAATCATAATTAGTATCATCATTATACATGATTATTTTTCAATAATCTAGTTACCTGGAATAACCACCGGTACATAGTTGTCTTCTTTGATGTGGTACTGAATAATTAGAAGAGTTACTATTATTAGTATTATTATTTGAATTGTTATTTCCACATTTTGTTGCATAATTCGATGTTGATGTCATCATTGTTGTGACTGGTGTTGTTGTTGTTCCGGTTGATAGATCAACCGGTATAATAGTAGGTCCTAAAGCTGTTGAAGATGCATGAAAGCTAGAACTAGATGACTGCAAGCGAGTTTTAACAACTTCCAAGGGACAAGTGACTATTGCGCCCATAGTACCGGCAATTCTATAACCAAATAGTAGTAATTGTTGTAGTAAATATTTATCCCACATAAATGATATTAAATTAATTAATGACAATGATAATTGTACATATCTTATCATTGTTGTGTATAATAATAATTATTATTATTATTGTTATTATAAAAGGACATCAATAATAAACTTACCCGCCAGCGACAAGATGAATAACTGTATCTCGTTGCGACATATCTTCAAACAAGTAATTTTAAAAGTTATAAGATCAAAAAATAAATTTGCCTCAAAAAAAAGGATAGAAATAGAGCCTATTTATATTACCTTAATTACGTATTGAATTTGTTCCGAATATCACAGTCATTACACACTTACACTAATAATGAATAAATTAACGATATTCTATGTAAACAGTATTATTAAGTAATAATGTAATATAATGCCGGTAATTAATCAGAACGCTTGAACTTCGCAATATCTCTTTCTTGTGTTGATTGTTTATGATCACGATGTCTTTTCAACCAGCGTCTTAACTGCGTAGTATTTATAATCGATTGGTATTTTTGGTAATAATTTCGTACCTTAACTGCAGCAGATATATGACATATATATATATATATATTTATTGCTGATAATAATAAATCCGTATACGGTACTGCGTCGCCCTTGTCGTTATCACAATTGTAAGATGAATAATAATAAATATATATATATATGATAAATAATAACAACATACAGATTTAATAAATACAATTATGTTAATAATGACATGACAATTGATGTTTATGATGTTATTTGTGTACAATATCAAACGAAACTAATGACAATCAAACAATATACGATCGTTCTTGCTATTTTTGTGAGTGAACTACATGTTAATGCTACTTCCACAGTATTACTTATATAAATAAATAATTTACATGTGTTATAAATGATTATTATGATTATTGGTACGTGTGTACATTAGTTACCGCAAAAAATATAACTCATTTCATTATAAATATGATGTGAAAAATAAAAATTAAATTCCATGTAAAATTCTAGAATTTATCGTATATCACTGTTTGTTTCTGTGATGAAAAATTTTAAACACTAATTAGTTTTCCGTATAGTTGCAAATATTTTTAAAACGTATATGAATTGCTATATTATTCATTAATTGTATTTTCAAGTTAAGTAGAATAGAGTATAGTATTCAATAGTATTTGTGGTACACTAAATAAAGGCGGCGTCGATGTTGGTTAGCTGTTGATCCTACTTCAGATGTGTGTCGGACGATTGTATAAAGTTGAACTACTCTTGGGCATAAATTAATTTTTAGATGTAAATATGTTTGCCTGTGTACGCTACTTATCACAACACCATTGGATATACATAAATATACACACGTATTTATATTTCACTATACTACGTTCATTTTAAGTTGTTGATTGGGATAGTCATGTCAGATAATGACATTTCTATTTCGGTAATCGAAAATATCAAATTGATGTAGGTAAATTAAACTCTGCCGATTAGTTTCCAAACGATGGTATCATTTCAATAAGAGATGTGTCACGTTTAGAGATACAGGATGACCGTCATTTATGATTATGGTCACAGAACGGTCATACGACCGTCATGTGACTGACTGTCTCAAATGACCGCCGGTTTTGAAATGCCAATTTACCGTCAGGAATTTTTTGGTCACAAATTTGGTCATCTGCATCTAGCTTGATGATATAGGACGGAAATTGAAAATCAGATTGCTTGAAGTTTTTAATCACTACTTCAATTATTTGCATCTAACTAGATGATGAAAAACTGCCTTTTAACTTTGAGTCACTGATTCTTATTTTATAAATTTTTAAAATTTTCAAATAATTTTTGCTATTATCTCATACCTCAGAACAACAAAAATTTAATAAACAACAATAAAACTTTTTAGCAATTATAAGCTATCGAATATCTGATACTCAAAGTATAATTCTTATACACATCAATAAATTCAAAAATTAAAAAAATATTTTCATATCTAATAATGTCAGTCGAACTATTGCTTATAATACTTTACATTAGATATACGTTTACATGTACATATATGTAGCAAATATGAACTTGTGTACTGTAAAAAATTTTGCAATAATAGAACTTTTATTATTTCAAACAAATTCTTTTTTTATATGTGAAATAGTAAATTACATAAATAACATGAAAATCAACTTATTAATATTTAACAACAATAATTTATAATTAAACCATTTATTTTCTGAGCTCATTTATATATTGAATCTAATATTATTTTATTTACATACCTTGCAGAAATTCGTAAACGATAGGATTCAAAATATAAATAATTATTGATAAAATGGATAAAGGCTACTAGAGTTTCATACAATTATCCGTTAGATGTCGCGACTAACCCGGTCGTCGGTCATTTTAGTGATAGTCAGCTGACGGTCTGATGGCCATGACATGACGGTCATAAATGATCAATTCGGTCATGCTCGCATCTCTAGTCACATTGATGTAAATTTATTGTTATTCTATTGGGTTGGCAAGAAAATAGTGAAGCACTTATGACAACTTTTAATTTTATTATTTATTTAATAGCCTATAAACTTCAATCTTTAATGCAGTCACCGTATCCATTAATTACTTGTATCTGCCTTGAGGGCAGAGATACAGTAGTCATATCATAATACTCTGTATGCTATACATTTAAATATTCTATAGAATATTTAAATTATGATAGTGTTTCACTATTTTCTTGCCAACCCAATATTAGTATTGCGCATGTGTACTTTAGATCCATTGATGAATCGTGTTACCGCGCTCAAGGCACGTGGCAAAAATTTATATATGAAAAGCATAATTAACAAAATTGTTCGCAATAACAATGAGTAATAAAATTCATCTTAAACATGACTGTTTTTTAATACTTCAAGATGGGAGTTTTTTTTCCGGTAAAAGTTTTGGAGCTCGTCAATCAATCGATGGCGAAGTTGGTATGTTGAAAATTCATGAAAAAATTAACCAAATCTTTAATTTTATTCTTTATAATTTGCCCGTATTACATAAATTTAAATGTGACGGACAAATCATGATTATAATATTATAACATTTATATATATATACCTATATCATTGATATAAAATTATCTATTGTTTCAATAATTAAACATTACGAATAACTTTTCTTATGATCAACTCTTAAAAGTAATAACAAAATGTTATAAGTATTTTCAAGGTTGGTTTATTTATTATATTTTTATTGTTTCATAAATTATGTATTTTTTAAATTTATTTAGTTTTTCAAACTGGTATGGTCGGCTACATTGAATCCCTTACTGACCCTTCTTATCACTCTCAAATATTAGTATTAACATATCCATTAATTGGTAATTATGGTGTGCCTGGAGAAGAAACGGATGAACATGGTTTGCCACGGTAATAAAATAAAACTTTGAAAAAAAATAATAGAATGTTACACACATTAAGTTTTTTTTTTCTATAGTTGGTTCGAATCTCGTCGAATCTGGACAGCAGGGCTCATTGTCAGTGAAATATGTGACACACCAAGCCATTGGTGTCACGTAAAAACATTATCAAAATGGATGGAAGCAGAAAACATTCCTGGTATATGTGAAATAGATACTCGAGCGTTAACTAAAGTTATACGTGAAAATGGCAGTATTCTCGGTAAAATAGTTCACAACATTTTACCACCATCACCATTGACGTGGTCATTATCGACTAATGACTGGATACAATTTATTATAGAAATGGATAATCCAAACAATAGGAATTTAGTTGCCGAAGTATCATTGAACTCTCCTATTACCTACAACGCAAATGGTAATCCTAGAATATGCATTGTAGATTGTGGGCTTAAATACAATCAAATTCGTTGTTTTTTAAAACGTGGTGCACAAGTCGATGTTGTACCTTGGAATTATGATTTTGTCAAAGTAATACATAAGTATGATGGTCTTTTTTTAAGCAATGGACCTGGTGATCCTAGTATGTGTTCTATAACTGTTGATAATTTGAAACGATTAATCCACAAGCCATCTAAAGATCATCACGTTATTCCAATATTTGGTATATGTTTAGGCCATCAACTTTTATCCTTAGCAGCAGGATTTAAAAGTTATAAAATGGCATATGGGAATCGTGGGCATAATCAGCCTGTCATTCATATTCCTACCGGACGTTGTTATATGACATCACAAAATCACGGTTTTGTGATAAATATGAAATCACCATCAGACGATACAAAAATAACAGATGAACAGAATTTTATATCATTAGATGATTGGGAAGAATTATTTGTAAATGCCAATGATAAAACAAATGAAGGTATTATTCACAAAACTTTACCTTATTTTTCTGTACAGTTTCATCCTGAACATATGGCTGGTCCACAAGATTTAGAATGCCTTTTTGATGTATTCATCAATCAAGCAGTATCATATCAGCAGTTTAAAAAAAATATTCCATTATCTATTGAGACTAATATACAAGAAAATCTTACACTTGTTCTGAATAATAATACAGATAATAATGCTACTAATATTTCGTCACGACCTCGGAAAGTACTAATTTTAGGGTCAGGTGGCTTAAGTATCGGCCAAGCTGGAGAATTCGATTATTCTGGATCACAAGCTATTAAAGCTTTACGTGAAAATGGAATACAATCAGTTCTTATAAATCCTAATATTGCAACTGTCCAAACAACTAAAGGAATGGCGGATAAAGTTTATTTTCTTCCTATAATACCAGAATACGTTGAACAAGTAATACAATCTGAACGACCTGATGGAGTTTTATTAAATTTTGGTGGACAAACAGCACTTAACTGTGGTGTTAAATTAGAAGAGAATGGTATTTTTAAAAAATACAACGTTAGAATATTGGGAACACCAATTGAATCAATAATAGCAACTGAGGACAGAAAAATATTTACAGAACGCATTAATAGTATAAATGAAAAAGTTGCACCTAGTGTCGCAGTATCTTCAATTCAAGAAGCCCTTCAAGCTGCCGATAAGTTAGGATATCCAGTAATGGCTAGAGCAGCTTTTTCCCTTGGAGGCCTTGGTTCAGGATTTGCCAATACAAAAGATGAACTTCGTGTTTTGGCACAACAAGCATTGGCTCATTCTAGCCAGTTAATTATTGATAAATCACTCAAAGGCTGGAAAGAAGTTGAATATGAAGTGGTAAGGGATGCTTATGATAATTGTATTACCGTTTGTAACATGGAAAATGTTGATCCTCTAGGAATACACACTGGTGAATCAATAGTTGTAGCACCCAGCCAAACATTATCCAATCGAGAGTATAACACTTTAAGAACGGTAGCTCTCAAAGTTATACGACATTTTGGTATTATAGGTGAATGTAACATACAATATGCAGTAAATCCCCTTAATTCGGATGAATATTATATAATCGAAGTTAATGCTAGATTATCCAGAAGTTCAGCATTAGCTAGTAAAGCAACTGGCTATCCTTTAGCTTATGTAGCAGCTAAGCTAGCTCTTGGTATGTCGTTACCAAAAATTTCAAACACTGCAGTTACTGCATGCAATACAACAGCATGTTTTGAACCCAGTTTAGATTATTGTGTTGTTAAAATACCACGATGGGACTTGAGTAAATTTCAACGAGTTTCAACTAAAATTGGAAGTTCGATGAAAAGTGTTGGTGAAGTGATGGCAATTGGTCGTAAGTTTGAAGAAGCTTTTCAAAAAGCGTTACGAATGGTGGATGAAAATGTAACTGGTTTTGATCCTTATTTAAAACCATTAAACGATGATGAATTGGAGAAACCAACAGATAAGAGAATATTTGTACTTGCTGCATCTCTTAAAGCGGGTTATAGTATTGAACGGCTTTATGAATTGACTAAAATAGACAGATGGTTTTTAAATAAAATGAAAAATATTGTTGATTATTATAATTTATTAGAAACTATAAGCAGTAACAATTTTGGAATTGGTAATATTTCTCATTCAATTTTGTTGGGTGCTAAACAAATAGGTTTCTCTGATAAACAAATAGCTAAAGCCATCAAAAATACTGAATTGGCAGTTCGTAAAAAACGTAAAGAAAATAACATTTGTCCCTTTGTTAAACAAATTGATACAGTTGCTGGTGAATGGCCAACATCAACTAATTATCTTTATTTAACATACAATGCTACTACTCATGACGTTGACTTTTTCGGTGGAGCACAACCAGCAAGCAGTGAAATCAACTCAAATACCATTATTGTTATTGGATCAGGAGTATATCGAATTGGAAGTTCTGTTGAATTCGATTGGTGTGCGGTTAGTTGTCTTCGTGAACTACGAAATCTTGGTCGTAAAACGATAATGATAAATTATAATCCAGAAACTGTTTCTACTGATTATGATATGTCGGATCGTTTATATTTTGATGAGATATCTTTCGAAGTTGTTATGGATATTTATGATCATGAAAATCCTGAAGGTATTATTTTATCAATGGGTGGTCAATTACCTAATAATATAGCAATGGATCTTCACCGTCAACAAGCAAGAATTCTTGGAACATCACCTGAATCTATAGATGGAGCGGAAAATCGTTTTAAATTTTCACGAATGCTCGATCGCATTGGAGTATCTCAACCACGATGGAAAGAATTAACGGATCTAGACTCTGCCATGGAATTTTGTAATCAAGTTGGCTATCCGTGTTTGGTAAGGCCTTCATATGTATTAAGTGGAGCAGCAATGAACGTTGCATATTCAAATCAAGATCTAGAAACATACTTGAAAAGTGCAAGTAATGTCAGTAAAGAGCATCCTGTTGTTATATCTAAATTTATACTAGAAGCTAAAGAAATTGATGTAGATGCTGTTGCTTATGAAGGAGTTATTTTATGTATGGCAGTATCAGAACACGTTGAAAATGCTGGAGTCCACTCTGGAGATGCAACTTTAGTGACACCACCACAAGATATTAATTCGGAAACGTTGACAAAGATAAAAATTATATCCAAAGCTATTGCAGCTGCATTAGAAGTAACTGGTCCTTTTAACATGCAACTTATAGCTAAAAACAATGAGTTGAAAGTCATTGAATGTAATGTTCGTGTCTCAAGATCATTTCCGTTTGTTTCTAAGACATTAGATCATGATTTTGTTGCTATGGCCACTCGTCTTATTGTCAATCCCGGTACTGTTGAACCTGTGGATATTTTAGCAGGCTGTGGTAAAGTTGGAGTTAAAGTTCCACAATTTTCTTTTTCACGTTTAACTGGAGCAGATGTTACTTTAGGAGTTGAAATGGCATCAACTGGAGAAGTAGCTTGCTTTGGCGAAAATCGATATGAAGCTTATTTAAAAGGAATGATGAGTACCGGTTTTCATATTCCACAAAAAGGAATACTTCTTTCAATTGGTACTTTTAAGGTAAATAAAACTATTGTATAGATTCTTTTTACCAATAATTATCACAAAGTGACAATAAACAATGTATTTTGTTCATTTAAACAGCATAAAATGGAATTATTGCCATCGATTCAAAGTCTTCATAAAATGGGATACAAACTGTATGCCAGTATGGGAACCGCTGATTTTTATACCGAACATGGCGTACAAGTAAGTGATAATAATATTGTTTTAATTTTTTATGTAATAAATATTTGGTACATAATAATTCATTTATTGTTAAATATATGTAGTCTCTATATCGAGACTTTTGTCTTCATCACCTGTTCTAAGTACAATATGTGAAGTTTCTCTTTCAATATTCGTTGATGAACTTGCGTGAACTATTGCCTTAGTGACATGATTTTTATTATCTTCATCATCTTTGGTACCATCATAACATTCATACGAACTTCTACTTAGTTTATGATTATTATTTTTATCATTAATATTTTTGTAACGGTCTTTAAGAGATGATGAAAATATTGGTGAGTCAGTATTTGTTACATTTCTTGTTGGCAACATTGGTGGTGGTAACGGCGGTGGTGATGCAGAATTGTTTCTTAAATCGTCTGAATGTTTTTTTACACTTGCTAATCGATTAGTTCGAGATTTGAGAGTTTGCAATTTCTCCATATATATTTTAACATTTTCTCTTGTATGTCGATTTGACTCTGATACTGACAAACCTTTTCCACTGTATTCCAATAAAAGAATTGAAAGACGTAATGCTTGATCTATGTATATCGATTTTAGGGCTAATGCTCCATATTTGTGAAAATATTCAGCAATCTTTATAAAATGTTTTATAAATAAATCCAAAAGCAAACAAAGTCTTCGTGGGTCTTGTAATTCAGCACACTTGACCTAAGAAAAAGCATATTTTTAAAAAGATAATAATTCATGCTTATATAATATTGTTAATGTTGATAATACTCACTGAAATTTCTAAAACTTGATCATAAGACATTTTGGTATCTATAAGAGTTTTATTTAGTACAGTTTTTTTGACAAAATTACTGGGTTGTTTAATTTGTTTAGCACTATTCCAAAAACCACCACTTCCATTACGTTGATTATAATTTTTATCCACAAGATAAGAATCATTATTTGATGAATTCATGACAGAAATCGAATGTTGATCATCAGAATAATGAGATTTATTTGGCACAGTTGTAATTGCCAAATGAGGATTTATTAATGTAAAAGTATCTTCTGTAAGAATTTTGATCAATATTTCATAATCTAACATAGGAAAAAAATTTTGCCGATATTCAATATTTTGCATAGCATGTAGAAGATACATTATCGGATTTTCCATGATCCTTTTCAATTGCTTTTGCGTTCGCAATAAACAAATTTTACTTTGAAAAATATTTTTATCTCTAATAAAATAATCACGCATACATGGCACATCTTGACTAATACATCGGTATAAAGAATTCAAAAGTCTCATTAAAGCTTCCCCCATGCGATTTTCTAGCCATCTACCTGGTTTATCATTTTCTTCAATCAACCAAAATAATTGATTCCTTATATGATTTCCTGTAAGTCCAGAATATGAGTCATCGACTGTCGTTAACTGAATGAACGTTTTGTGTAGAATTAAGGCCATCAGATATACTTGAATTTGTGAATAAGACATGCATGTCTCTAAATAACGTTCAGCTTCTGGAAACGTTATTTCCCATTCTAGATTTTTCAATGAATTGTTATAATTAGTGGATGTATTATTATGAATACTAGTATTATCTTTATCATCATTGTAACCCTTAGGAATTAAGTGACATCCTATTTCTTTAATTTTTTCGACAATATTATAATGAGGCCATATTCGAGGTCTTTCTATCCATTCATCAGCCATATCTGGCCATGGTGACCAAATACAAGGTATTATTGCAAATCGATTATTTTTCATACCTTGTTTTTGTGAATATTTTTGATGTAAAGATGATGAAGTAATATTTTGTAATAATTCAAATTTATCACAATAAATGACAGGACCATAACTTTTATCGAATGCTACATTATTTATAATTTCATTATATCCTGAAGCATTTGGTATGGTAATTCTGGTAGTGTTCAAGTCAAAACCCATATTCATTGATAACTTATTAATAAATAATTTATAAAAATAATCCATAAACCTTTGACTACTTAGATACCAAATATCACAGTGATGATCGTAATATATGACATCTTGTATCATTTTATCTTTCTTAGTTAATTTTTGTTTTTTATTTCTTCGCGGATTATAAATTTCAAAGCATTGTCGTGGCAATATAGAGCTTAACTCGTCATTAGATAGATTTTGTTTCTCATCAAATTTTTTGTTAACGATTGTTGCTCCAAATTCATTCCTTCTACTATAAATAACAGTAGCAGTTGAATTTCGAATGAGATTATAACTAATATCATCACTGTCACTGTCAATTGTATAATTGCCAGATCTATATCCAGAACTGGTGCTTTCGGCTGGACTTATTTGACTGCTGTGGCTAATTTTACCAACTAATCTTCCATGTAATACAGAAGTAGTTGTTACACTTTTAAATTCATCATTATTTCCATAAATATTTGAATTATCACGCGGTGGTAAATTTATTAATGTCGATTTTAAGCTTCCATTTTCACATTTATTTGACTCTATCATATCAATTTTACGATTTTCTATCAATGTATTATTTTTATTATGACTCATATTATTATCGATATGTAAACTTCTGTCATGATCACTTTTGCTATCGTCGTTTTCACCGTCATCATTACTTTCACTATACACGGTTGACATTGTTATCGATTTTTTTTTATCACCCGATAGAAGCTGATGCTCAAGAAAGTTTTGTGAAGGATTCACCTCTAAACGCTGAAGTAATGCATATCCTAATGAAACAAAAAATCCAATCATTAATTCCAATTCTTTAATATAATAATTTGAGATTTTTTTACCTCTATGTTTGCTCTGTTTCAGTTGCATATTGTAAGTAAATGTTCCATTAACATTGGAATATGGTGATGAAAAATTTTGCTCAGTTACTTCAATGTTATCATAAACAACATAAATTCTGGAAGGTTGAATTGATTCTATTGAAGGAATCATTAAAGATGGCTGAATGTACGTGTAATTGATATTTTGTGCTACTTGTTGTTCTAATATGTCTGGTACGAGGACATGTTTGTATGGAGGTAAACACGTGTTAAATTTTACCTCTTGAGCTGAACCTAATGTTTGTTTCAAGCTCAATATTTCCCTAAAATAGATACATATGTACTTTTTTGAGAAGAGTGAAATATGATAATGAAGTATTTAAAATATTCTTACTCATCATAATTTTCAAAAAATTGAATACACATCATGAGATTGTTAAGAATAAACAATTCCGGATTGTGATCAATAATTCGTCGAAGTATGTCAAGTTCTTGATCATGTTCTTCATTTTTTAGCATTTGGTTATCGTTGAGAGATTGTGTCGATGATTTTCGTCCACTATCGTCATTATTATTATTAGTTTTATTTTTGAATATATTTTTACACACAGATTTTGTATTTCCCATTATATTGTATCAAAATTGTCACGTTATCAACTTTTTATATCTTAAGCATTATACATAAATGAATTATTAAATGAGTGTTGTTTATACTTTATCATCACTAGTATAATATAGGAATACTGAACATTCAATTCCTTCCGTGAATCCACTGCTATTGCCACATTACAATAGATTTTGACGGATGATTTATCTGTGATAAACTACCTTATCGTATTCTTGTCGTTTTTAATTTGTCGTTGTAGTCATCATTGGACTCGTCGCTCTCCTATCGGATAAGTTGATAATAAAAATGTACATGTATATATAAATATGTACATGAACAAAAAATTCACAGAAAAATATATAGTAATATCAACGTAATCAATGTTCTGATAATTCAACTATTATTTTTTTCCTCAACAAATAAATAAGTATTAAGTACTATCTAAAAGATGTAAGATTTTCTCATAATGTTAAATTGATCATAGGATGCCTATCAAAACTAAAATTTAATTATTTTAAATAATTCAATCTTCAAAATTCTATATTTGTAGACTCATTAATAGATATAAAAAAATCCATAAAATGTACGTATACATATGTACGTATGTATATGGACGAATGTATTTATCAGTAAAAGAATTTTTTAAAAATAGGTTGAACCGGTTCAATGGACTTTTGAGAATATTGATGCAAATTCTACCATTTCTGAAGATTCGAATCCTAATGAGCTTTGTCATTTAGCTGATTTTCTATCCAAAAAACACTTTGATTTGGTAATTAACTTACCTATGAGAACTGGAGGAGCCCGTCGTGTTTCAAATTTTATGACACATGGTTATCGCACCCGAAGGCTTGCTGTTGATTACTCTGTACCTCTCGTTACAGATGTGAAATGTGCCAAACTTTTAGTTGATGTAAGTTTATCTTTTTTGAATAAAGAATTTTTCAATAATTAGTTGAAATCATTTAATAAAAAAATGTTATTTTATATTCTTTCAGGCTATTGGTAAACTAGGCGGTCATTTACCACGAATAAAAACACATATTGACTGTATGTCTTCAAGGAAAATGATGAAGTTGCCTGGTTTTATTGATGTTCATGTACATACTCGTGATCCTGGTGCTACACATAAAGAAGATTTTGCATCTTGCACTGCAGCTGCTTTAGCTGGTGGTATAACCACCATTTTTGCAATGCCTAATACGAATCCAGCTGTAATTGATCATCAATCATTTGCTGTTGCAAAAGAACGAGCAAAGGCTGGTGCAAGATGTGATTATGCTCTATTTTTAGGCGCTTCATCGGATAATTATAATACAGTGAGTTGTTCTGAGCTAGCACCTTTGGCTGCTGGACTAAAGATGTACCTTAATGAAACCTTCACCACCCTCAGATTAACTGATCTCAGCATCTGGATTAAACATTTTGATAGCTGGCCTAAAAAATATCCTCTTTGTGTCCATGCTGAAGGTCAAACAACTGCAGCTGTTATTCTATTGGCAAGTTTACATAATAGACCAATTCATATTTGCCATGTTGCACGTAAAGAAGAAATTCAAATAATTCGTGCAGCAAAAGATAAAGGATTGGCTGTTACTTGCGAAGTATGCCCACATCACTTATTTTTATCTACTAATGATTTGGAAAGAATTGGATTATCGAAAGGGCAAGTGAGACCAATGCTAGGAAACTTAGCAGATCAACAAGCTTTATGGGATAATATGGATATAATTGATTGTTTTGTAACTGATCATGGTAATAATTTATACTATCTTTTTGCTCATATTAAAGATTCATGACAATTATATATTCACATATTTTCATGATAAAACAATTACATTTTAGCACCACATACAGTAGAGGAAAAAATAAGTGAAAATACACCACCTGGATATCCAGGTTTAGAAACGATTCTTCCACTTTTTCTGAATGCTGTTTACGAAGGAAAATTAACAATGGAGGTATTTATTAATCTAAAATTTTTATTTCAGTAATTGAATCTACAGTATAGCAATATCGAAAGTAAAAACACTCTTAATTACAATAAAAATTGGACTTGATAAATAATTATAATTTATTATCCAATTTTACATAATTTCTTATAAAAACTATAAATTAATTTATCATAGTTAAAATTGATTATGTTGGATGTCTTCAATATCTTATCGTCTGGATAGAAAAGTATTTAACAATCTTTTGTCTTCTTTTTATCATTAGGATCTTATAGATAAATTTTATCGTAATCCAAAAAAAATTTTTAATATTCCGGATCAATCAAATACATATGTTGAAGTGGATCTTGATGAGGAATGGACTGTTCCTGAATCAATGCCTCATACGAAGTCAAAGTGGACTCCATTTGCTGGAATGAAACTTCGTGGATCTGTCCATAGAGTAGTATTAAGAGGCGAAGTTGCTTATATAGATGGCCAAGTTTTAGTTAATCCAGGATTTGGTCAAGATATTCGAGAAGTACAGCAAACGATAAAAAATTATCATCAACCATATTCATCGATATCAGTGTTGACTAATGTCACAGCTAATAATATTGATGAAATACCTACAGCAAAAATACATCCAACTTTAGAACGGCTGTTATCACCAAATTATCATCACGACAAATTTAACCAGGGAATTTTAAATGAAGATTTAAGTTATAATAGCAATGCATTTAATTTTCTTCAAGCATCATCTACATTGCCTGCAACCAACAAACTGATTGGAATAAGTGAAGTGGAAAATCGAGATTTTTCCCGTAATATAGCAACATCAGTTCAACGATGTACTTCACCACTTTTACTTACTACAGCCATCCCTACCTCTACAACAGCTACTTCTGCAACCGCTATTAGTAACTTAAGCCATGGTCATTTAACTGGTCAGCATATTCTTACTGCTGAAATGTTTTCCAAAGATCAATTAAATGATATTTTCAATACAGCACAATCACTACGCGCTTGTGTACTAAAAGAAAGACCACTAGATCATATATTACGTGGAAAAATAATGGCATCCATATTTTATGAAGTTAGCACACGAACTTCTTGCAGCTTTTCAGCAGCAATGCAGCGACTTGGTGGCCGTGTAATTCACATGGACGTGTCCACTTCATCTGTAAAAAAAGGTGAAAGCTTAGAAGATTCAGTAGCTGTAATGGCTGGTTATGCTGACGTTATTGTTCTTCGGCATCCTGAACCAGGTGCAGTTAGTAGAGCAGCACGACAACCAAATTGCAGTCGAAAGCCCATGATTAATGCAGGTGATGGCGTCGGTGAACATCCAACCCAGGCATTGTTAGACATTTTTACAATTCGTGAAGAAATCGGTACTGTAAATGGTCTGACAATAACCATGGTTGGTGATTTGAAACATGGAAGAACAGTTCATTCTCTAGCACGTTTACTGACGCTTTACAATGTTAATTTGAGATATGTTAGTCCACCGGAACTAGGAATGCCCGACCACGTGATTGATTATATAGCTGAACGCGGGATTCCTCAAGAGAAATTTAATAATCTTGAAGATGTACTTCCTGATACAGACGTTCTCTATATGACTCGAATTCAGCGTGAGCGTTTTGTTACTCACGAAGAGTATTTGCAGGTATTTATATCATTTATAATAATTAGGATAGAAACAAAAATGATAAACTTTTATCTTCTGATTTAAATAAATTATTTTTAACAAAAAATTATAAAAAAATGTAATTATCGCTCACGATAAATATGACTATAAACATCAATGTTCATTTAAAGAAGTATAACATCGAAGCTTTTATTTATAATTAATTCAATTTGATCAAACAAATGTCAAAGTTGTCTGAAACACTGCACTAATAAGTTCACGATAGAATTATTTTCCTTATTTATTGACAAAAGTGTTCCAAATTATATAAAATACAAAGACAGTTTCAGAATTTTAAATATCTTTTTGTTTTTTAACTATAATTTAATATCGAATAATTGATTCCAAGCGGATTACCCGTGAATGAATAAACTTACTTTTTCACATCAAAGTATAAATAAAGTTTGTTTTTTTTTTTAATGATCTTTATAAATCATATTTTTTCAGGTCTGTGGACATTTTATTGTCACTCCACAACTAATGACTCGAGCTAAACGTAAAATGATTGTCATGCATCCTCTTCCTCGCAACTTTGAAATAAGTTCAGAATTTGATACAGATCCTAGAGCAGCATATTTCCGGCAAGCTGAGTGTGGAGTTTACGTACGTATGGCTTTATTAGCATTGATTCTTGGTCGTTTATAAAATATAAATTTTTCATAATCATATATTGAATATAAATTTACATAATTTATGCATTAATTATAAGAGCGACAGAAAAGAGGCTTGAAATAAGTATAAACTACTCATGACGGAAATAATAGAAACTGTTACCATATAACAACTGTATTCTATATATGTATATTTTTGTTTTATTTTTGAAACTTCGTTGGCAAAAATTCTCTGTATTAACAATTGTTAATGTTAACATTAACAATGTTACTGATAGAAAATCTAAATAATTTTTACAAGATATAATCTAATTAAAGAAGTTCATTATGTATTTTTTAATTAAAAACTGAAAGCAACGTCTTTTATATTGTGCTATAATATTTCAATTGTGACAAAATAAAACTATTTTGATAAGCATTTTTTTAAATATTTTTGTAACAAGTTTATACTGTATTTCAAATAAAGTTGATTGGTTTTTTTGGAATAAAAATAAATTCATTAATCCAAAATAATATGTTTTATATATTATTTTATCATTCTATTCAATTTTCATATAAATAGAAATTTATTATAAAAGTAGAAATAAAATAACATTACTAGTAAGATCCCCTGTACTGGCGGTATGAAAAATAAGCATCTACTCCGTGAAGTACTCCAACAACACCGCTCATCATCTGCAATAGCAAATAATTATTAATTCTTAAAATATAAAAGAAGTAAGTATAAAATTATGTAACGAGTACATGGTATTATTACTTACATATGCTGCAATCATTGCTGGATATACGTCAAATCCCGGCGTAATATAATATTGTGGTAATAAGAACATTTTTGTGGAAAATGCAAGATACGAAGCTGAACTCAAATAGAGAAAACATGCTAAAGTATTAAACATCATTTCCTGTGGATTGAAATTCCATTTATTCTTATGTCAATTAACGTCAAATTGAAAGTAACACTAATTACTTCTGGACAAAACTTACAAATAAAGAAGCTTTTATAAGCCTATAAGTTTTTTCAGATACAATGTAACAAACTAACAATACAGCTGATGTCAGAAAACAAGCTGATGATGTTGTTAAAGCTCCTTCAAACGCTGATCCAATTGTTGCACTATAGCGAAGACCATTATTTATGAGTAAACTTTGTATCAATCCGCTTAAAACCTATATTGTTGTAAAAAAATATTAAAAATTTATTATTATTTTGCTTTGATATTTGTAAATATTATAAAAAACTTACCGCCTCAACTAGTTTGATAGCTCCCGGTAATGTCTTCAAAAAATCTATATGAATACAAGTACAACATCTCATATAGCAACACCCAATTCCACCAACTCCATGATCACTTCCACCATTTGCTAATCGTACAATTGGTCGGCCTTTGTTTGTCATTGTTTAAAATTTGAGTAAATATATACTTCTTCAAATAGTATTCTATAAATATATTGTTAAACTTTATGAATACAATACTCAAATTCAACTAATGAATGTTTGATAAAATTTGTTTTATTGCAACTACACTCTGCTGTTCGCTTTCATAAACTCATGAAAAATTTTAGTTTAATTTTTATATTAAATCTACTTAAACTAACTGGAAATTTCAACGTGCTTAACTGAATATGGCATCCGGTGAACTCTCTGTGATCTGTCAGTCAGACTTAAAATAGCTCGGATAGATGGAAAAAGTCATCTGCTACCCCCTGCCTATTTCCGTTCTATGCTATGTGTGTATATAATGCATATACTAATAATAAATTTATTCGTACTCATGCGAACAAAATTATATGTGATAAAAAATTTTTTATCAATTTACAATTTACTTTAAAATTAAAAATATATTTACATATAATATTCAAGAGGTAGTCTTAACATTTGTATTATGAATATTATACATTTATTTGTCGCTATAGTATATTAAGTATCCTGGTAATTTCATTATTAAACTATATAATAAAACAGAATAAAAACATCATGTTTAGAACACAATTTATAAATATTATTTGATAATAGTTAATTTAATATCAGAACGTTTGATTTAAAAACCTCGGTACATTCGAATGGCAATTACTGTACTGCAGAAATATAAGGCGCAGTTTATTAATCCACAGATCTGAAAATAAATTTAATATTTAATTTCGTATCTGTATATTGTTATTCAAGAATCAAACAAAAACTTACTGATGCTCCTAACAATAATTCATATTCTGAAGAATATCTCCTATTATCGGTAACTTTTATTAAAAGATTCAAAGATGAGGCAAGTAACAAACCAAATGCAACTGCATGATAAATAACCTCCTAACAGATAAAAAATTATTTTCCCTTAACATATTACATACATATTTTATAATGAATACGTTAATTTTAAAATTGTACATACGAAAAGAGTTTTGGACAACATTGTCTCAGTTGTTAATGATAGAAAACTACTTAGTAGTAGCAGAAATGTTCCAATCATGAAGGTTGTGGCCATAAGAAGTAAAAATTGATCACCAACAACAAAATAATGATGTTTATCTAAGTGATGACCCATTATTCCAACAACAATAACTCCCAATATCTATAAAATAATACCAATAGATTTTTAATAAAATATATGATCATTATACGAGAAAGAAAAACTAATATAAGATAAATTCATTAACTGTTTCTAAAACTTTCAAAAATCCTCTGAAAGTGGTTAAATATCCTGTGTTTAAGAAAATACTGGATCCACTTGTGCGAGTAACTGTTGCAGTCCTTACGGTCACCGCTGTATGAGACATAGTTGCAAATTATGAATAGATTCAATTTTACTCAAAAACTTATTGAATTTCTGAAATTTACGAAAATAAAATATTATTTTTTTCATTTCTGAATCTTTAATTAATACAAAATTTTTAGCACATATGGTACATAAAAAAGCAGACCTTAAAAAACTTTTTTCACTTTATTTGTTTATAAAAAAAATCACAATTATTGTCAATAATTAAAACAGTTCACTTCAGTAATCAATAAGAATAATATTTTATATATGTTTAACAGACATTATAATATTGAATACAAAAATGTGTTTATCAGTGACTTATTTTTCAAATAAGGAAACGTTAAGTTGTTAAAATAAACTGATGTATTAGAAGTAGTTTAACATTCACATTGAAAAATCACACACCAACTGTGTGGATCGCTCATCTAGACTGCAACATCTAAAGAAGGTGGGTGCGGCATTTAAAAAAAACCTCTAAGGCTATTTTGCACCGTGTATGATTTCATCATTGATGATATCATCGTATATATAAAACTACTTACAAACACGCACACGCGCTGACGTAGTGACCCACGCACCATACACAGAAAAAGAATATAAAGTATAGTGTATGTTTTTATTATATTGATATTAATAGTATGAAAATTAAGTAATTCACTAATAAATTTTGTTTGTATACTCGACCTTAGTTGGACAAATCTGGAAAACCAATTAAAATATTCAGTGATGTCATACGTAATAGTATTCAGGGTTATTAAATAATATACATGAAAAAACACATTTAGTATAGTTGTAAAAATCAATTCTCAGTTTTAATGATAAATAATTATACTTTTTATTAATGTTAAATTAACTTGGTATAAATAATTAAATGGTTAAAATCGTTAGTTTAACACAAATAAATTTCTTCATTTCATATAATCTGCATAAATCAATTAAAACACAATTTTATTTGCAATTAGAATATTAAACATTTGAAAAAAGGCACTCGTGAATTTAATGTCTATAAAAGGATAAATTATTCTTGTATAAATATACTTTCATTGTTGCATTGATATTTGCTTGCTTTATTGGACAATTTTTCAAAATATCCTCTTATGAAATTGTACTTTCGTAAACATTTATGATCGTATTAATAAAAGTTTAGTGCTTATATCAAATATTTTTAAACTGTAAGAATTTCATTCATTATGTATTATATTTGAAACAAATCAATATTTATGATAGAACACTCTCATGATTATTTATGAAGTTCTTAATTATAGCTACCAATTATATTATCAACCATTTAACAATATTATTGTAGTAATCAATATTCATGTAATGTTATAAAAAAATAATATTGATTTTTAAAAAATTTGATAAATTTATCCTATTGTTGTTCATTACGTATATTTATATGAATATATATTATATATATAATCTTAAATTATTTGTAAATATATAAAATCTAATGAATGATGTGCCAGCACGCAGACACGTTAGTCTATAACGCGCAGTAGAATAACGTTATAGATGTTTACATATTACACACAAGTAATAATTGTAACAATACCTTTCGCCAAATAAAAGACTTTATAGTAATGATTCCTCAATCATACTAGTAACATGTTATAGTAATGTATACAATTGTTTATACTAACATAAATATATATTTTTCTAGTGAAAATAATTTTAATTTTTTTAAACTGTGTAAAAAGCACGACTTGCAACAACTCTTTTATATTTATTCCATAAAAACTCTTAGTAATAACATGGTGGACACATAGAAAAACCAATTATGTAAATAGTTACTACAAAAAGTCTTTGTGTTATTAAAAATAGACTTTGTGTTCTTATACTTTTATTTTATAATCTTGAATATATACTTTAACCAATTTTAAGTAAACAATTATGAATTTCATAATTATCATGATTAAAAATTGTTATTAACATATCCTTCTTAAGTTGAACCACTGAATGATAAATAATTCATCAGGTACTGTTGTTTTTGTAAAAACATAATTACGCAGAGTTTCCGGTACCACTTGAACCATTATTTTTCCATTCAATGTACAAAAAATACGTTCCTGCTGCGTAAGCAATAGTATTGAAAATTCCGAAAACCTAAAAACCGAAAAATGTATAAAATTGATACTTATTAATTTAATAGGAAATAGGTATTTATTTTTTTTATATAATATTAATTCATTTTACCCCAGCAGCAATGTTAGATGATCTTATACCAAACACATCATTTCTGAAATGCGAACTCCAAACTGAAAGTTGAACGATAAATGCTATCGTGTATAGCACTGTTGCTATTCCCGTATTAATCAATTCCTATAAATTCAAAAATATTAAATGTTGTACATTTTCTTCAATTTTACTGTTGATATTATTATTAAAATAATTACCGATAAAATCCATTTGATGGGTAATTTTAATGCTTCACGAATTGATAACAAATAAATGAAAACCCAAATTAATGTAGCTATGAATGAAACTATTGCAACGAATAGAAACCAACTTGTTCCAGGAATATATGCCGGGGCTGCACATGCCATACAAATGATGCCTAAAACCTACAACATTGTACAAAAATTTTATTTAAATTTATTATTACAATTTTATGCAATATTTCAGTTTTTAATAATAATTTTAGTACAAAATGTAACTTAAAACAATTTTAATATAAATATACTTTATTTTTATAATAAAATTTATCTTCGTTTCATGATAAAACTTAAATGTAAAGAATATTCTGTAAATAAACGATGGCAATTAACGTCTACATGGCTATCGAATTCAACTAAATCAGTCATCCTATGAAATTTAATTAAAAATTTGACCTTTATTTTAGACAGTATTTGAAAATTATAGCTATGGTAATCTTTATGATTTACAGAGAATTGCAACTAAATAAATATATCTTACATATCTGACAATAATTTAATCTATTCAAATATTAAATAAACGTTAAACAATTTTTCTTGATATTAATTTATTCATAATAATTATTATCATAAGATACATTGATACTTATAAATTTTTTAAAACAATTCATCATGTTTATATTTAATATTATTACATGAATTATGTAATATTCCTACAATGTAATTTATCAATTTATTATATTGCCTGAGAACTGTTTAGCTCAACGTAAATTGCTACTTTTATTTTTATTACTATTAATGATAATTTCAGCTTTTTTTTTAATGAATAAATAATCCTGCATATATTTATTTAACATCACTTGATCAACGGTAATTCTATTGAATGAATTTACTGTTGAGTAGTTCGAGTTTTGATGAACGGTACTACTGCTATTATTAGTAAGTTGGTTACTACTACTTTCAGGAAATTGAGTAGCTAATATTCGAGTATAATAATCATCTCTCCTCATTAACTTATCTGCAACTTTTTCAAATTTCATTCTTCTTTCTCGTTCTTGTTGGACGAGTCGATGTCTCAACTTATCAATTTCTTTAAAGTCGTATCGTTTTTTTTCTACCATTACACTTTTCATTCGTTCAACATTATCAACTATTAGTGAAGTCGCATTTTGTTCGAAAAATTTTGACTTATGTTTACCTCGTTTAATCATAACTTTTTCTGCTTTTTGTTTTTTTAAAAATTGAATTCTTGCCTCTTCTTGACGTCTTCTAACTTCATTGACAATTCTTTTATTTTTTTTATCTAATGCTCTTTTATCACTCGCCAAATAATTCTGTTGCCAAGTGTGAAATGTATTTTTCCACTCAACTTGGCGCTCAATAAATTTTTCAATCCATGTAATTCTATCAAACCAATTAACTTTTGATATCTGAGCCAGATTATTAGGGTTTTTTTCTTCTTGATGAGTATAATGCTGATGTTGTACCTGCAGCATCATGTACCTAAATGTTCCGTTGAGATGACAAATACCAACAATAAAGTTGGTCATCGATTGCTGTAAATTTTCATGCGTGAACGCAACAAGTCCCGTTATTGACTTGCCTGTAAGAGAAATAGTCTGGATGTGTATTGGCTGCTTCATCTTACGGTATATATCCCATATTTCGAGGTCACCATAACATGTGGCCAGAATAAAAATTCCAGGTGTATGGGTCCAGCAACAAGTAGTATAACGACTATTACATTTTTTCCATATTACAGGTTGATCAAAGTCATAAACGTGCCAAATAGCAAAAGTAGAACCACCAATTGATAAAAAGATATTGGGTATGTGATGTGAATTTATAAGAGAAGTTACTGGACCGTCATGAACACAATCTGCTACTTTTTTGCGATTAAACAGTTGATTACTTGAATAATTTTCATCTTGCACGTCAATTTCTTTATTTTGCCATGTATAAATAACTAATTGACCCTGAGTAGACCCAAGCCATAATAAAGCAAGATCATTATTTTCATTAATAAAATCACTGTTATTGATATCTAAAACAATTCTACAGAGAAATGAACTGAGTACAGTTAAATTAAAGAAATCGTTCCCAAGGGATTGAAGATTAAACTTATGGAATGGATGAAATTCATATTGATATTGTTTTTGCTTCTGATTATTATTGTCAGTATTATTTTTGACAAATTGTTGAAAAAGGTTCCATATGATAATGATTCCTTCTTCAGCGCTTGTTAAAAATTTTAGTGTATTTTCGAAGTTAGATCCAATATTATTTTTATTTATTTCTTTGTTGTTTTCAACTACAAATTTTGGTATATGCCAATGAATTGCTCGTATTGTCGAGAGATGTGACCGAAGTTGATAGGAAGAAATAGAACATGAAATCACTCCCATCTCAGTTTTATAATTCATATTTTTTATATTTTGTTTCATTTTCTTTTTTAATAAATTACCTTGATCAAGATCCCATAACAGAAGTTGACCATTGGTGCATCCGCCAATGATTATATTATTAAGGGATGAAGGGCAAAAAGAAACAACAACAACTTGTCGAAAGTCATCTAGGAATAATAAAGGGTAGGTAGATGTAAAATCTAATGACAATGACCATATCAATATCATATTGTTGTTTTTTGTAATATTTTTATCTAATAATAAATTATTTGATTTACCAAGTAGTTTCGGTCTAGTAACCAACTGTTGATTCACTTGAATCTTAGCAAGGTCAAATGAATAATCACTGCCAACATAAGAAATGGCAACAAGCCCAAAGATACTTGGATGCCAAGAAACATCGGAAATCGCAGCAACATTAATCATTTTATTTTGTTCGCTTTTGATAACATTTTGTGGATTAATAAGATAATTGCTGTTATCAAATATATAATAATATTCACTTGTATGAGTATTGAATGCACATACGTTATTTGCTTCATCACTTACTAAATTTTCGATATCATCTGAATAAACATTAATACTTGCATTATAATTAATAATATCAATCATTTCAGCAATTGTTTCTTCAGAAAAATGTGGGATTTTATTAATATCATTCATATCAGATTTCTGATTGTATTGGTCACTTGTATCAACTGAAATATTTGGTGGTTGTTCTTGTTGTAAACTCACATCAATAATATCATTGGTTTGAATTATACAGTCTTTCTTATCGGTTTCGTTATGAGATTGTGTCCATTTATTATTTGGATAATCTATAGTCAACTGAATACTTTTATCTTGTGGAGGAAAAGTTGTAGACACAGATCGAGAAACTCGTTTCATCCGAATGCTTTCAAATTTGAAAGAATCGGTAGATGATGTTAATTCAACATAACCATCTCTAGCCTCATCACTATTCCGATCAGTTAACTTTCGTCGTGGCCTATCAATATTTTGTGACGTACAATCAACTTCAACCTCAAACCTAGATTTCGAATTACCACAATCATCATGAAAAACCTCCATTGATTCAAGGACTTCTTGTATAGTATTATTATCATACACCTTGCTATTAATAGTATAATTAGCTTCAATAGTAATCAAACGATGAACTTTACTATAAATTTTTTGGGTTACTGCTTTATTTCGTTTTAAAATGTAGGCTTTTGCTGAATTCGTCAGACAAATAACGAAATCGAGAGAAATTAATTTATGTTGACAGGCATATCCAATAAGAATATGCTCCGTTTGACAATTATTTATGTTATCTTTGAAAGCTTCCAATCCAGAGCCAACTTGACATGCTTGTGCAAAAGCATCTTTTTGCATTACAAATGCCCATGGATATTCCAGGAACACTTGTTTACCAACAATGCAATAAAGTTTTTGTTGCGTTTCATGTGGCAATTGAACACGCACTATGCCTTCGATATCTTCAGCTGGTGGCGACCAGCACCACTCCAAACAAGTTTTTGATTTAACTACTTTTTCTGACATAATTTTTACTTGTACTCAATTCTGTTTAGCATTTACTTTCCAACAAGTTAGTTACATACTATTGACTAAATTCAGTTTGTGGTTCTGATAAATATATTAATGTTTATGGATACCTAAGCGTACAAAACTAAAGCATTGATCAAACTTTCTGGCATATATTTCAATAAACTATAACTATAACAAGCAAACTATACAAAATGACATAATGTAAAATTTAAAATAAAATTTTTACTTGAAAGTAATCTGTGTTTCAAATAGTAAAAGTCAATAAAATAACTTTTTTATTATCCAACTAAACATTAACTATACATCGAATGTTCATTAAAAAACGTCAGTTATTTCAAGCATGAAAAAAATAACACAATTAAAACCATTATATAATGGTAAATTTTATTTAATAATTATAATTATTATAAATTTTGGTAATTTATTGACATTTTAAATTTTATTATAACTCAATACTATCATCATAACGCTAATATTTATAGTTTCAAGAATATGAATGACGTGTACTTGGCGCAAAGTTTTCAAGATATGAACAATTTATATTTATTTGGAAACTAATAAAAGAAATTCAGTAAAAATGAAACTATTGTCTGTGTAATGTTCTATGGTAAAATGTTGCTTGTAACTGTATATAGAACTTAGATTAGTATGCGTTGCACGTACACATAACTCGTTGGTGACCTGAATGCAGTTGTACAGTTATGAATCAGTTTTTAACGTTGAATGATATGCGTATAGACATGAAAATTAATATAAAAAAAATGATGGCAAATTATAATTTAACATTTTTTATTCAGAACCTGATAGTACTCTTAACAATATTAGAATCAAGCTTAATTAAATTTTGTAAAAATGCATGGCCTCGCAGAAGCACTAGTAATTTTATTATGTGGGAACGTATACACATGCACATTGTATATTTTATTAAATATGCATTATTGTGATTTGAAGCATCTTGATGGCATACTAGCGAATATTTTTATGCATTTTAAATAATATAACCTGTTAACAAAAAAATTGACACTTAATCTAAAAAGACAGACTAAAATCCTAAAAAATGCCAAATATATAGTGTAGTAACTTCAAGTTTAATGAAAAATCAAATGACCGAATTAAAAACATAAGAGAAATATGTTAATTATTATTTTAAAAAATGATTAATAATTTTTACATATTTTATTCTTATATTTTACATGGGTTCACACCTTATTAAGGTGTATATATTCCATTAAAATTTTTTAAAAACTTGCATTCATACGTATCATACATTTTATTGGATTTTTTAAAATCAATATTGCATTTTATATAGTAAAATTAAAAACAAAGCACTTAAATATTATCAATATTAACAGAAGAAAAACTTGTTATTTTATTAAAAACTGTAACAAAATATACATTATTCCTTTTTTATTTTATTAATAAGAAAGTATAGTAGTTCAATACTTCATAGGTCAATCTGTACAGTTTGTTACCAAATCAAATCATGTCTAATTATAAGAAGAAGTTAACTTAATTATCGATTCTGGAATGATCATTTACATTTTATATATCTTGAGATAATAACTTTTATAAACTGAGTATTCTACAAGTAACTGTAGATACTGTCTGCAAAAAGTAGGTGTTGACTTTTGTCATTACATGTTCCAACAATAAGACAAGATACTTGACAAAAAAATTACATTTCAAACATGTATTATATACGTTATTCTTGTGATGCTATGCTGAAGGTTAATATATAAATATAATAGGCCTGTTGAATTCATGTAGTCACAAATATACCTTCACAATTTGATCTACACGGTAATATTTTAAATATAAAATAAAAGAACAATGAACAATTTAAACACTTGTATATCGTACAAATCAAAGTTGATGTTACATAATTCAGTTGGGTACCCTGATAAAAAATTGCAAATATAAATTTACCTAAGCAAGATTTGCATTAATTATAATTAAAGATATTTAACGAATGTATACATAAAATAACTCTAAATTAAGTTTTATAATATCAAAAAATAAAATATTTGAATTGAAAAAAAAATATACATTGAACTTACCAATTGTACAAGCTTGATGATTCCAGGTATGGTCTTAAAATACAATCCATTAAATGTTATCAATCCAACAACAAGTCCAGGTTGTCCAGGTTCTGTTTTGATGGTAGGTCCTTGTCGGGGGTTATTTGCATTATTAGTGCCATCATGAACTGTCACCACAGTTTCCGACATCATGTTATTTATAATATATAGTAATTTATACTGTTAATATTTTAGGTTTCAAAATAATGAATTGAGGTAGCATATAAGTGCACGCGTATTTTAATACTATAATAAAATTGAAAAAAAACCAAAAAGAAAATAGTAGAAAGTAAAAGTTTTAATAATCCTTTTTAAAAAATACCACTGAAAAAATTAAACTTGTGACAATTACACTTCACTCCACTGATGAATAGTTGGCTATACTAAGTAGCCCACCACCACGGAACAATCAACACAACTCAACACCAGTTCAAACTTAACTGCTGATGACCACAGAATCTACCTACTATATACATACCTACGTACATACAACACTCTTCTTAATCATTCTTACGTTCTCCCCTCACTTTACATTTTTGTTTCTCATGCGTAGGTATAGAATACTTTGTATAAAATTATACATGTATATGAACGTATACATAGATACCAGTCATTTGAATACACACAGGAGTAATCAAGTGTAACCAAGTATACTTCATACTAAATATATTATATATTCCAATAATATTTAATAAATTTTATAACTATATTAACATTTAATCTCATTAGGAGAAAGTTTTTTCGGTCAATTTTATTGTTATATATTTTACTTCAAAGAATGAAATATTTTTTATAACTTGAGTTGTTCTTACTGGATGTTTGCCAAAAAGAATATTTCCTAAATATAATAGTCGTAAACAAAACATCTCAAGAATAATTTAGGTTAATTTTTTTTCGCTTTGTATTAATCATTGTAAACAGTAAATCCTACATATTGATGCAAAGTATTTACTAACAATAAAGATAAAAACGAAATTTTGAAAATAGAAATTCACGGATAGTAAGGAATTAAAATTTTTGGAGATCATAAATTTGTATAATTGTTAATCGTGGCGTTAATAGATGGCGCCACATATTTCATAAACAGTCAAAAAGGAAAGGGTGCGGCAGCGTGGTGACGGTGTCAGTGTGTATTGCAGTATAGTGTGTCTCAGCATGTTGGCATTTAGTAAAGTCAATGTGTGCATTGAAGAATACCATTATGCATTACTAGTTTAGTGATCAGATATTATATATGTGTGTACAATATCGGCAATATAGATACATCTATTTTGTATCTTGCTCATATCGTCCATATTAAAGCACCAGTTTAGCCTCAAAAATGAATGCATTAGTGTATAAATTATACCCAAGAAATAAGTATATTTTGTTAATTGAATAAAAGTGTCTTGATTTTGCTAAAAAAATGGTTAACTGATACTGCATCATATTATACTCTGCATTAATATAATTTTGACAGTGGTATAATAACAATAACATCAACCGCAGAAGAAGTAATACGGCTGGACCGTGTAAAATTCGACACAAAATAATTGGATGATAATAACCATTGTTACGTTATTTATCATTAAAATCATATATATGAGTGCGAAATAGATTTTAATTGTTGATACTCATATATGTGATATGATTTATATATAACAATAATATTATCAAATCATTAATCAACCACATATATTTTAATAATAATAATAATAATAATAATAATAATAATAATAATAATAATAATAATAATAATAATAATAATAATAATAATAATAATAATAATAATGAAATTTCAAGTGTATACTCATATTAAGAGATTACAATAAATAAAGCATACTTTGATAATTCGTTATAACAGTATATACTTATACATATATATATAGCAATATCAAATGAACGGATAACGAATTAATACAACATTTCTTGTGTACCAATGAGTTTAGCAGCGGCGGTATTACTCATTTTAGTGATTATTCATTGAAAAGTTGTTTGTGTAATGCCTGGGAGCCGCTCTAGTACAGACCTAGAACATAAATCACCGCGCGAAAGTGGTGAAGATTCTGAAGATGAGAGTGAAATTTTGGAGGAGAGTCCTTGTGGACGATGGCTAAAAAGAAGAGAAGAGGTGAATTTGTATTTTTAACATTTTTATATTTTTTTTATATAACTCAATCCGATAAAAAACATTAATAATGTTGAATTAATTTTAGGTGTATGTCGGTTCAAAATCAATTCCAACAGAAGGGTCAAACAGTTCAAGAGCAATGGAAAAAAAAGTTTCTGAATTAGAGGTAAAACAATATGTTTATAATGTGTTATTTTTATTTATTATACGAATAACATAATAAGTATTGTGTTATGGAAATGATTAAGGTTGGACAGCGAGATGTACCGGGAATAGATTGTGCTTATTTGGCTATGGATACAGAAGAAGGCGTTGAAGTTGTATGGAATGAAGTACAATTTTCAGAAAGAAAAGATTTTAAAGCTCAAGAAGAAAAGATACAGCTTGTTTTTGAAAATTTAATACAATTGGAGCATCCAAGTATTGTCAAATTTCATAGATATTGGACAGATACACATAATGATAAACCACGGGTAATAAATTCTTAATCATTTGTATAGTTTACATAGTTAACTATAAATATTTATCTACTGATTAAAAATGCTTAATACATGAATTCGTAAATATAATAAATTATAGAACCTAATATCCTAGGTTATTTTCATTACGGAGTACATGTCATCTGGATCATTAAAACAATTTTTGAAACGCACAAAACGCAACGTTAAGAAGTTACCGTTACAAGCATGGAAACGATGGTGTACACAAATATTATCGGCATTAAGGTACCATAAAATCTAAAAAAAATCAATAAAATAATGTAAACGAGTTATAGTTTAAGAAATTTATTTACTTTTTACAACATTACAGTTATCTACATTCTTGTTCTCCACCAATAGTTCATGGAAATCTGACTTGTGATACTATATTTATTCAACATAATGGACTTGTTAAAATTGGCTCAGGTTTGTAATTAAATATACTAAATCACTATTTTTTCCACTGACTAAATCATGTAAAAGTTTTTTTCTGTACTAATATTTTATTATCTCTATTTTCAGTATTATTTCTTTAATAATCATGCTAGTAATGTAATTAAACGATTTTTTAAACATCATTTCAATTTTACAGTTGCACCCGATGCAATTCATCACGATGTAAAAACTTGTAGGACAAATGTTAAAAATATACACTTTGTTGCACCCGAATATGGAAGTAAGATAACTTAGAATCATACATTCATAAATTTAAAAATATTAACGCTAGTTCTTATGATCATGTATTTTTCAAGATTCATTAACACCAGCTATTGACATATATTCATTTGGTATGTGTGCACTTGAAATGGCTGCATTGGAAATACAAGGGAATGGAGATTCCGGTACAATAGTAACAGAAGAAAATATACAAAAAACTATTGAATCATTAGATGACTTTCAACAGAAAGATTTTATTCGAAAATGTCTTCAAATTGATCCACTTAGTAGACCAAGTGCTAGAGAATTATTATTTCATCCAATTTTATTCGAAGTGCCGTCACTTAAATTACTCGCAGCTCATGCTCTGGTCAATTCTTCAGCTAGTAAGTTTTTGTTAGATAAAATATGGAAATAATTATGTAATATTTTATTCGATATATATATATGTATACATAATTAGACTTCATATAATGTAACTTTTATTGATTGGGTCAAATAGCAAATACGTCAGAAACAATTACGGATGAAGTTCTTCAAAGATTGTATGGACCAGATACAGTAGTTGCTGAAATTAAATGTCAAGGTCAACTACCTCAACAAATTAGATTGAGTGACATATCTGTAACGGAAAAATTAGAAAAATTTGTTGAAGATGTTAAGTAAATATCTTTAATTTTATTTTTTGCAATTATCGTATATTATCGTTATTTTATAAATTTTTTGCACCAATTTATTTTCGTTATAATGCAGATATGGAATTTATCCTTTGACTGCATTTATGGCTAAATTACCTCCTCCTCCAGTACGGCCCAGAGCAATATCTCCTGAAGTAACCGAATCTGTAAAATCAGTAACGCCAGAGCCTTTAAATCCGGAATCACGTAGAATCGTTCACATGATGTGTAACGTCAAACCAAGTGATGACAGCTCTGAACTTAATGTATATATTCCTCATTTGTTGAATATAATTAAACATATGGACTTTTTTTCCTTTTATTGTAATGAAAAATTTATTCTAGATGACTATATTATTACGAATGGACGATTCGATGAATAGGCAACTAACATGTCCCGTAAATGAAATAGATACACCACTTCTTCTTGCACAAGAACTCGTACATTACGCTTTTATCAATGAGGTAACTACTTTATTTTTTTTTTTTTTTTTTAATTTTTTTTTCGAAAATCAAGATTTTGAAATAATATACCTTTATGACTATTTCTTCAACTAGAGTGATCGTGATACTTTGGCACATTTAATTGAAGAAACATTGAGAAGTTATTCCAACAAACAAAAAATGCGACCTGGAATGGTATCATTAGCAAATTTACCTAATCAAGCTCCTTTATTACTTCCAGTAGAATTGGAATTATCTCGCAGAAAGGATAATTGTTTAAATGATATTACATCTTCTTCAATAATAGCTAATAGTGATGATGAAAAAAAATTGTTGCAACATGAATCGTTATCTAAATTGAATTCTTATGTTGGAAAGTGTACAAATTTAGATGGAGATGTAATACATTCGACGAGTGAAAGCGGTAGCAGTTAACTAAATGTAAAGGATTCTAAATATGTAATTTAAACTTTAATTTTTGTCCTAATGCGCGTGTGATTGTTAGACTGGTTATGTATTTTTATATATTCAAAGTGAAGGCAATAATGAACAAATAATAATAACACTCGAATGTGCCCTGATAATGATAATGGTGTTGGGGAATACCTTCCGTTATAAATAAATATATATATATACATATTCATACGTCAAAACAAAAAAAACTGCTATAGTAATAATAATTGGTAAATCACAGTGCTTATTGTAAATAACAACAAATTTTTAATACTTTTACCATAATTTTATTAGATCCTTATATTATTTTTGTCTTTATAATTAAAAAAACGCAACAATCCCATTTTTAAACAGCATGCAACATATGATGATAGTAAAAATTAATAATGTCAATGACTAGTAATATTAGAAGACATACAAATTTTATAAATTCTATAATACCTTACGATATTATCATCATAATAAATTGCAAAATATCAAATATATAAAATATTTGTAAATGATTTACATATATTTTTAAGTCTGTTGAGAGAATAAACTAGTCATACATATAACACATAAGCGCGTATAATATTTGAAGATTAAGTAATAAATTTAAATTTCTACATTCTGTGAATGCTGTTATGCATTCTGTGTTAAAAAAAAAGAAAATAATGGTTTAGTGTATAACATATTTGTTAAAAAATGGAAACGTGGCAAACATCTTTTAGTCATTAGCATCAATTAATTATATAACTGTAATTTGGCTTTAGTTATACTTTATATATAACTAAACTACGGCATTATCGTCAACAAATAGCTTTATAATTATTGAAATTATAATTAAAAGAAATTTGGAAAGTGAATGACGACTGAATTGTTGATATTATAAGACGACAGGGTTGTACAATAAAAATAAATATTATAATTCGCAGATATAAAATATTTTCATTTTTCATTTCAACCTATAATTAGTACAATATTTCAAAATTGAACTAACGCTATGTAATAATTGTAAAAAGAGATACATTTTATCTATATGCTTATGTACTACACATTCGCGTAATATTTTATGTAATAATAAATTTATTTATTAGAAGATGATGATACTGATTACTGTACGATAGTTATAAATTATAAAAACTACTTACCCATCATTTGTAATTGTCTTACTATATGAAGAATTATATTACCATTATCATTTAGTTATTATTATTCTTGATACTAATAATACTGCTACAATACTGTTATGATACATTTTTCATTATTTTATTCAAAGAACTTAATTTTACTGATTATTAAATTATTAACATAATATAGATTCATAATTCATTCATGAAGAAAATAGTGAAGCACTTAAAACAGCTTTTAATTTTATTATTTATTTAATAGTCAACAAACTTCAATTTCCAATGCAGTCACCATGTCTATCAATAACTTGTATCTACCTTGAAGGCAGAGATATATTGGTAGTATCATGATACTCTGCATGCTAAAATATTTAAATCATAAAAGTGTTTCACAATTTTCTTGCCAACCCAATAATAATAATTGTTATTATTATCATTACTCGTCATTTTTATTTTGTTGTGTTCGATTTAATAAATAATCGAGATCATGTGAAATACGATCTAACATACCATTTGTATTTTGCTCATTATCAGAAATATCTTCATTTGGTTGTTTATTGTTCGAATGTTGATGATAATCAGGTTTTTTACATTCAGAAATAGAGCTTGCTATATCAGGAATAACATTAGCACGCTCTCGATGGATTACTTCAACTGTATTTGAAATATTATGCCCTGTATCTGTTGCAGCCGTTGCTAATGTTATATCAGGCATAGCTACTGCATTATTAATTCGTGATTCAATATCAGCACTACAGCGAAGAACTTTTGTTGAAGAAATTTCTGAAAAAATAACAATATTTAGGTTGTGATATTGAATTAATTTAAATGAATTTTTGTTCAAATTCCGACAGAAAATTTGAAAAAGTAAATATACCTGAAGTACTGAAAACTTTGGTACGTGAACTAGCATGATATTCAGGTACCAAGTATAAAGGTACAGGGTTTTCATTAGGAAACGTGTTGATATTATTAAATTCTTGATATTTACGTGGACTTGTGCTATATGTTTCTAAATTAATATCATCTAATGCATAACTTTGATTATTACTTGCATTATTACTTTTTTCTGGATAATAACAGCTTGCAGTATGAGAAGTAGATGATTTAATAATTGATTTTTCTGGTAATGATGGATTTATATATTTACGCATATTTACAGTACTAACACTCCCACCACTGCAATTCGTCTGAAGAGTAGCATTATGTGCATTGATTCCACAGGCATCAGTACTTTTACATAAAATTGGAGCATTACGTATTCCCACATTGGTAAGTGGAATAATTGGTGCAGCATTTTCATTGTCAAAGTCAGTAGAAATTTTAGTACATACTAAAAAAACATTTCTTATATTGACCAGTCATTCGTATTGATATAATAAAAATATTTTAATACCTTTGATTGAATCAGATGTGATCAAGTCTTTTTTTATCATATTTTTCCAGTTAAATTGGCAAAAAACAGCATTTATAATTGATATCATTTCTCGATTACCCACATTCATAAATAAATTAATAAAACCCTAAAAACAGTTATTAAGTTTATATTGTTAATAATTGAATTTTCAATTGATGAATATAATAATACTTACAAGAAATGCTGATAATGATGCAAAAATGTAGTGATATATTTCATCATTAGAATTGATATAAAAAATAGAAGATATCATAGTGAATATAAATACACATAAAATTGCAATTGCTCGATGAACAACACAGACATTTTGTTCTAATAATTGTTTTTTCATAATAATACTATTTTTATTAGAATTTATTCGTATTTTACGCAATATTCCAGTGTATAAAACAATGAATATTAATATCATCGTAATAACACAGCTGATGAAATTATTGTACCCTCCACTACCGAATTTTAACCACCAAGTTTCATGTTGATTTCCTGTACTTTGGTGGCTCAATTCAGTTGTTAGTATACATAAAATAGGTAAGCCCGTAATTATTGCAATGATTGTTGGTTGAAAATGCTGACTGTTTGGACGGATTTGCATAAGTTCAGCATAAACAATTAATGCTTGAGATATAGGAGCTGACATTCCTATCGAAAATAATGTTTCTAAACTCACTGCAATTATTGCAAATGAATCCTAGAAATTTTTAATGAATCATTAAAAATATAGTTATGTAGTATATAAAAAATATAAAATAGTTATCAATAAAAATTGATGGAAAGTTTTTATCATTTTACATTACCTCTGATAATTCTGTAAAATACGTGGCATAGATAAAAAAAATCATTACACCGATCAATGCTATAGAAAATTGTAATTTTAAAAAGTTTAGCCAATTACGATGTTTCCAAAAAGTATAGCTTAGGAAAAAAATTGATATCACAGATTGAAGTAAACCACAAGTACAGCCCAAAAGTACAATGAATGTTGAAGTTCGACAATTTGTAGCAAGAGATACCTGAAGAAATATAATAATTATATTCAATAATCGTAAGTTTTTCTAGTCAAGTTTTTCTTACTCTGATTGCACGTGCTGTTAAAAAAAGCGCAAAAGTTCCAGGACTTGGACACGTGCACAAAGTTGACATCTGATTAGGAAGCAGCATTGTAATGCAAGCATCTAAATCCCAGTTTCCAGAAAATGGGTCTTCCATACCGCAAGATATATTCCATAATGCTGATCGATTTTGTTGTAAATGATGAATTGTTAACTCTACTTGGGTATTGGTGTTAGTAATATCATTTGAAGGAAATATTGCAACTGTCACAATTTTTGAATAAAAATGATATTCAAAATCAGTCCCATCTCTGAAATATTAATATGACAATTATAATGTTTAAAAAATTGTTAATAAAATTAGTTTGAAATCATTTAATTGATACTTACTTCAATTCTTTAACATATGTATGAGGTAAAAAACGAGTCATATTTTTAAAAAGTACAACAGCACCAATCATAGATGTGTCAATATTTACATGAAGATCATTACGTTTAAATAATTTAACAGTAATTTCATTATTATTATACCAATGTGGATATCTAAACCAAAGTAGTAAGTTTTAAAAATTAATTTTTAAAATAATTATGGTAATTATGTAGAATTGGTGCTTCAGACTGCATTTTAATCGGAGGAGAAGTGTTTATAATTTGGTCAACGTTTACTTGCGAGGATGGAAGTGTTAGAAGAGCATAAATAATTTTGTAACCCCCTCCACGCCTTGCCTTCTATCCTTTTTCAAAAAGTGTCTCCTCTACTTTTAAATATCTAATTTTACCTAACTAAATAGTTTCCAGGTGGTGAAAAAATTTTTTGAGTGATTTTCGTCTGGAGCCCCAATTCTAAATAATTACTATAATTATTTCAAAAACTTACATGTAATCATCGATTGGAATGTCAAAAGTAAGAAACTGATGATTATTGTCGTGAATATCTGGACCATCTAAATTATAGCCTGACCAACGAAATGGTTGAATATCAATTACCATCGAAGACAATGCCAAATGATATTGAAGATGATTATTTTGATTATCAGAATTAGACTTTATCAACAATTTTTTTATCCAATACTGTAAATTTCTCAGAATAAGTTGCTGTAATAATAATCGATTGTAATGCCTTATAATAGAATTATCATCATCAAGTATTCGATTAACAATAAACATGAATGAATCAGCCGAATTGTAAAGTTCAATTGGTTCATTTATAGTATTTCGATAATAATGTTCTATTTCAGCTAGGATACGTAGTAAACGATCACCCTCTCCAGGATAAAGTGGCATTTGCCGCTGTTGTAAAATTTCCCAAAAAATTATAAACGTATTTGGGTATAATCCAGTAATATTTTGAAAACCTAAAGTTAAGCTTTGAAACTGGGACAAAAAAGAATATACGTATATTAAATTTATTCAATACGAATGATTTGCCTTGAATAAATATATCTGAATTTTTTTTACTTACGATAGAGTAGGGAAAAGTAAATGACTTATATAAACACTCTGAAAAATCTGGAATTTGCCACATAGCAGTTGTTGAATTTTCCATCATACATAATCGAGAAATTTTGTTACCGACAAACTGTCGAGGACATTCAAGAAAAGCTTCTGAACCTGGTCCTGTATCAGGCCAATATAAATTCCATGCTTTTTCACTGGTACATATAGGTATTAAAGTACGATTAATCACATCCACTCGAACAGACATAGATCGATGGGCAACGTTACATGTGAATATTGCTGATTTCTAGAATTTTCGAAGAAACATATATTTATTTTAAAGAATCAGTGATCAGTTAAAAATTGAGATGCAGGCTTTTACTTTGATTACCTGAATATTAATAATTTTTAGAATACTTCCTGCCGGATATAGATCCTCCCATACATGATTATTAGGATCAAGTTTAAGCAGTGCACGATTCTTTGTCCAACCAAAACCAATGCCTAAACTATTCATGTTAGGTGTAATACATGTTAATTGTATATTACTACTTTTTTCAACAGTTACACTCATTGGAAGTATTTTAACATTCGGCTCATCTCTTATGTTGATGTAAATCTGTTTGCATTGTTGCATTCCTGAATCTATTATTTGACACGTGTATTGTCCTTTATCCAAAAGAGTTGCCTTATTGATTTTGAGGAAAGATATGAAAGTCAATCCATCATTTGAAACAGTATTTTCAATTGACATTTTCCTATTAATCAGTAAGTTATATTTTATATACTAAATAATATAATATCAAAATTAATATAGACATGGTAACTCAATTCAATCATGTAAAGTTTCTTAGTCATACCTGATTGATTTACTAGTATTTACCAACATATCATCTTTGTACCATAAAAAATTTATATCAGAACTTCCTTGAGCGATACAAGATAATATAAGTTCATCGTTTAATCGAACATCACGTTCATTAATGTAATTCATCACATTAAGAGACTGTCAGTGTATGGCAGTTTTAACATAAATATTGTATGATTAGTTCAATTAAATTTGGTTATTCTATGTTTAACAAAAATTATCAACATTATTCTTGGTTGCTCTACCTGAAGTTTTAATAATGGATTTTGTTGAAATGTAAAATGAGTAGATTCTAAAGTGAAGTCATTTAGGCGTCGTCGTTGAACTAGACGATTCAAAGCATCACGAATTCTATCGCCTTCACTAGATAATCCATAAAAATGAAATATCACTTCGGCAGATGATCTGAAGATAATAAAATAATTATTTATAGTTACTACTCATTATTTAATATTTTATAAAAACTTACGTGACATTCGTAATTTTGAAGTCTTCCATTTTAATTATATCAAAGTTACGCAAATATTTGATAAGCTGTTTACATAATTTTATTATTTTGCATTTATTTTAAACTTTATGAAAAAATTTTTTATTTTTATACCAACCTGTTTCTTTAACAGCGTCTCCCATGTAGAGGATAGCTGAACTGATGTAGATGAAGTTAAACTACTCCGAAATAAAGTTCCATTTGATAATTTTATATGACACTCATATCGTGCACGATCTATAGGAATACATTTTTAAAACAATTTTAACTAGTACATAACAATCATTTGTATGACAAATATTTACCATTATAAATTAGAATGGGTTCGACACAGTCACAAGGTTTATAATTGTTCGTTTCAGTCAAAACAGGGCATTGATAAATACATCCACCAACATCATAATCATCATCGTCATCACGATTTTCATCTTGACATTGATCTAAAAAGATTAGTGAAATTGTTTAAGTTACCATTAATAAAACTCAACAAAGGGATTAATATTTTAAACCTTGCATCAATTTTTCATTCTTAATGGGTATTTCACAATAATGACCGATGAAATTTGATTTACATTGACAAATCATTGCCGTTGAACCTATATGACTATAAAAAAAAATTAAATTAATCATAATTTTAATAAATGATGATTACTTATTAACTTACTTGCAAATCCCTTCATTTTTACAAATAGGAGTATTGTTGTCGTCGAAGCAAAATGGTCCATTGGAGCATTTTTCTCCATAAAAATTATCGAAACATTCACAGGAAAATTTACTGCGAAAAATTATAAACTTTGTGTTTATTATTATTATTAAAAATGATAATAATGGAGTAAGAGTAAATAATATAGTATGAGATATACATATACCGATATTTAGCACCAAGAATACAATTTCCATTGAAAGAACAATCTTGTATTGAACATGAATTAATATCCACAGAATCATCATCTGCAGTTATTTCATAAGTAATATTAAAACCATAAACATATAAAAAATGATCCAAAACACGAACATGATTCCCTTCAAGTCTTTCAAGCTCAAATTCAACCACGAGAAAGGGTCTATTTGTTTGTAGCTTTCGATGTTTAAAAATATTTCCTTCGGTTATTTTTTGAATAAGAGTTCCTCCAAAATTGGTATTTTCTGATTCATAATACGCGTATTCGGTAAATTTGAGTCCTTTGTAAACGTAGACTTGAGTGAGGTATATAATGATTGAATGATTATTAGTAGAAAATACGTCGGATGCGTCAATGATCCAACGACATTTTATAGGAACAAGAAATGGGTTTGGAAAAGAAGGTGTATGAATTGAACCTTTTAGAGCTGTTAAATAATCTCCACAAGTGTTTTGATCTGATGCACTTGTCACTGTTGTTTTTAAGTCTTTTTCGATGCTATTTATTGAATTAATTAAACAACAGTGCAAATATAAAATCAGAAAATATACTTGCCAACGTTTCGTTATTTTTTCAAAAAATGGCATGGTTACTGTTTTTATCAATGTCGGTGTTTCTATTATTATCTAAGTTATAACCTAAAAAATAATTATAAGCTTTTAATTCAACTTTTTATTTAAATGATATTTTAAAAATACACAAATAAACATAATTTTATACAATGAGAATGGATGTATACCTTTGAAAACGAATTATTATAATTAAACTAGAAATGTAGGATTGCAAATAAATAACAAAGTGGAATAAAAAAAAATAAAATGAATTCTTTTAATAATCACTTATTTACTTACTTACTATTTATCATTATTAATTACTTCAATCTTAGTATTTATAATTATTGTGATAGAATAAATAAACTTATCCAAGACAAGTAAACATTTAAAGTTTGTCTTGAATTCATTATCCTTAATAATTAGGTGATTTTAAATTCCAATTATATGTGTTATTTGTTATATTACAATTAATTGTCACTTAAATTTCATATATTAGCTCACTAACATCGATCAAATAATTTCTCATATTACTGCATTTATTAACGATAAAAACACATTTGGTTCAAGCGTAAAAATATCGTCATTACATATGAAGACATTTTTACTATTTCTGATACTATTTTTGTTATTGTTATTATGCTTACATATAAATATATACATAATGAAATTCGAAAGAAATTTCACACTGATAATACATACATACACTGCACCAGGTAAACTACAATGTATGTATGCCCGAAAGAGATGTGTGCAGTTGGGCGTCTGCAGCCCTGTATAGCTTCACATCTGCCAACATCCCCCTCATTTTTTATAGTAGAACTACTCGACGAAATTTCGCAGTGCGCAATTACAAATGAAACTCGAACTACGTCACTACATTCTTATCTGAATATTCTTTCAAGACTTTTTTTTAAATTTAATTATTTAATCCGATCCATGATTTGATTATTTTGCTTTAAATATTAGAATTATTATTATTTATAAATAACCGTAATGACATAGGAAGTGGTAATTGTAATATCTTTTGTTTCATGTAATCAGACAGAAGACCATGATTCATTTTGTGTGCATAATAAATTTGATTTGGACGAATATCTTCAGTCTCGTTATTCAAAGTACTGTAATTGATACCTAATAATTCTGATTTTTGTTGCTGAGGTATTGTATGATAATCATTGCATGAAACACCCCATTCACTTATATTGTTTGATGAATACTCGTCATTGCATTTTATTATATCAGTAGAATGTCGAATCTTATTAATACTATTGTCGTTTTTTTCCATAGCTGTATGGCTATTATTGTGTAAAGTACGTTTTGAATGTGCTAGTAAGTATTGCATATCTGCAACAGAACACTGTTTCAAAAAAGAAGTTGTTAATTTTTTAAATAATGGTAAATTTTCATCTGTAAACTTAAATAAATCAACGTCGAAAAATATATTTTGAAACGTTTTAGAATTTTTCATTACCAATCGATTGTACTTATCCCCGGTATTGTTGATAATTACTTTCTTATCCAGATATTCTTCATACATGGGTAAAATAGTTATTTTGTGTAAATAAGGGGCTGTAACAAGTTGAGAGAAAAATGAAGATTTATTCTGACAGACTAAGGAAGGTTTTTTCTGGTTAATTATGTATTTAGACATTAAGTCAGGATGTTCCGTCAACAATTTTTTCCTTACTTCTCTTCGTATAGATAATTGGCTTAATTCTTGTAATGAAAGAGGTTCAGACAGGGCTATGCAAAAGTAAAATTTATAATGATTGTTTGATTTGAATTAATTTTCAGTTTAATATAATTTAGTTGAAAAAATAAATATCAATTATTACGTAATTGGATTTGATCAAGATCAGTTGCAGTATCGTTAGGCACAATAAGTGGTGCAAATGAAATCGGTAGAATTACTTGATATTTCCAAATATCTTCATTAATTCTTTCTATTCTTAATAGATTTCCTTTATACGGCATAATAAGGATTCCACCTACTTTTACAAATTGTTTAATAAAAATTTCATAAGATTCTGGACATTCAGCACCACAGTAAACTCTATCGTAACGTCTATTCGGTAAAACCTTAAAAAAATTTCCTATAACATTTCATAGTATAATTAATTGTCAATAGTACTTCAAAATATTAATACAATAAAATATCTAAATTTTATACCATGTATAAAAATTGGTTCACAAAAGTCAAATTGATCCAAAGCATTACATTTTTTCTTCAATTCTTTCAATTTTTTGCATGCAAAATCAACACAGTCTTTGTTCAATTCTACACCATGATTAATATCATTAGAATCTAGAAAAAAATTCGCATAAATTAAATTATTCAAGTCAATTGATTTTTATTAAAAATATCAATTAATGTTCAAAAACTTTTATAAATGCATTTACTTACTTAACAATAAACCTGCCATAGTACTCAAATAACCAGTACCTGACCCGATGTTTAAAAAACTTAAGCCGGGCTTTAAAGATAAACTTTCCATCACTCTACCATACACGCAAGGAGCTGATAGATGAATATTACCCATTTTCCATGATAAATCTTTATAAATAACATTTTTATCATCCGATGAAATATAATGACCTCGATCAATTGCACGAAAAACGTACTCAATTTTTTTAGATTTTATATATCCTAAAAGTCTTAATCTATCAACTAAATCATCATTATTAGTTTCATTACTGTTTATATTACCCATTTCAATGTATTTATGAAGATTCAATATGAAAAAAATATCAAAGAATAAATAGAAATAGACTGAATTTATACAACACTTTAGTTTAATTTAAACTTAAATACAAAGAAATATACTTGAAAGTCTAACTATTAACTCGGCAATGAAGTAAAGAGCGAAATAAATAATGAATATGAGATGCTAAAAAGGATAAGTTAACTCAAAATATTCAACGTTTATATACGATATAAATAATTACAACTAATGTCAAATGTCAGAAGATATACACCAGCTGATTCATTATGTTGTTCATAAATGTGATAAAAAAATTATTATATTTATAAAATAATCTTATAAGTGTTAGTTCATTCTATCTACTTAGTCGCAGTCCTTTGACCTGACAGATATATTCCTCTGTAAACGGCAAATATTATGATTATGTTAAATCTACGCAAGCTATTTCTTTATTATCATATTCTTTTGTCAATACAAATACTACTATTGTTTATTATTGGATAAATTTTTGTTTTTATTATTTAATTAATCTTTAAAATTTATATTCTATTTTAAAATTATTTAAAATTTTTATAACATCTCCTTGATATTTAATATGATATGAATTATACTTAGAGTGTTATTATTCTTCTATAATAGGTTAAAGATGTATAAGATTATCCGTTTTTTGGTCTTTTATCGAAATATCAGATTCAATTTTGATAAAAATATAAAATTTTTTTGTTCCATTGTTATTCTTTAAATGAATATATGTAGATGAAAATTATCGAACATACGATTTATGACTCATAAGAATACATGGAAAGTCCATATAGATATCTCCTGCTATAGATTGCAGGATACACAAGGGTTTGTGACAAATTTTAGAAATCTTGTAATCAAATGTAGTTAGTAAATATATAAGTAAAATATTAAACCAAAGTTTGGTAAGAGCGTCTCTTTAAAGTCAAAGTAATTCCCCAGGTATAATTTTTAGAGCCATTATTCCCATGAGTAAGAATGAGAGAGGTATAAAATTCTACGAGGTAAACCTTTTTACTAGTGCTTTATGAAATTCATAGTTTGTCCACTATATGCAGAGGTTTGCACACCTCTGCACTAAACTTTATTTTTAAAATTTGTCAAACACTTTTATTTATTTGGTGATAGTAATATTATTCGCTTTTAAATATAATATGCTTCTGATTTTTCTTTTGTTGAAAAAAATGCAAGCAAAGGATATTATAATGTTTTGTACTTATGATTTTTTGATTGTATGTAATAACTATCAATGAAATTAATATTTATTGTGGTCCGAATATTCAATAATTCATTTTTATTGTTTACAGATAAATTAGCAAATTTCAGGTCTACGTACACTCGGCGTCATTAATGCCTGGTCCATCAAAAACTTTGATACCATCCGAGCAATTATCGATGGAGTAGTTTTTTTTTCAAATAGAGATTCCACATCTAAATTAATTTAGAAAGTTCATGATTAAATACTCTTTTAGATAGTACCTACAACGATAGAATATCCCGACTAAAAAATTTTTAAACCTTAATTTAAATAATAACAAGAAAATTTAAGTAATGATAATTATAATTTAATTATAAACTTAAGTTTATAATTACTATAATTAAACTAACATTTATAGTCATGACTATTAATGTGCATGATTATTTCATTTTCATGATGACTGAAGAAGAAAGTTTAAATTATTATTATTATTTAAATTAAGGTTCAAAAATGTTTTAGTGGGGATAGTCTATTGTTGTAGGGACTATCTATACTAAAAGAGTATTTAATCATGAACTTTCTCAATTAATTTAGATGTTGAATCTCTATTTGAAAAAAAAACTACTCCATCGATAATTGCTCGGATGGTATCAAAGTTTTTAATGGACCAGGCATTAATGACGCCGAGTGTATATGAGTATACCGTCAGAAAAATGATTGAATTACGTAAAAATTGAGAATACTTCTTATTTTACGAAGAGATTTAATTTTATAATTTATATCTTAATTTTGAATATTATTATCTATTTTCTTTTTTATCGACTCATGGAATCCCATTATATTTTATTTCATGTTATCATTATAGGGGCGCTGATTGGTCAAAATAAATTTGACTATGTCAGATCAACTATAGGTTCTGCTTATATATACATACATATATAAACTCAATTATGGCTACGAAGAACTTTAAAATGTAAGTAGTTTGTATCAATATTTATTATTAAATATACTATTAAAAAAAGCTGTGCACATGAATTTAAGTAATTAATTCTAATAATTACTTTTTTCGGTCAATCATATTTTTCACATAATTTACGTCAATTTCAATCTATTGAAAAATATAAATGGAAAAAAAAATCCGTTAAAGATTTTTTAGTTTAATATTTGTATGTCATCTCATTAGTTTTATTGTTTAATTCTTTGAATGAATAAAATACTTTATCTGAATTATAATAATCATGTAATAGGTTTGTTTTTTTTAATATATATACATAGTTGCATAGTGGTTTGAATCAGTAGAAGTAATTACTACTAATATAAATACTTATTTTTTCTAATTTTGTCGCGGTAGTTTTTTTTGTTACGTTACTTTGTTTAATAATTGATAATAATTTGACGTAATAAATGTTCGGAAGTAAAACTTAATATTTATTTACGTAAAATCATTTTTATTGTGAAAGTATGAGTTTTTAAACTTGTTATCAAGCAATTTATTGTTAGATAAATATTATTTGTACAGAAAGTAAAATTAAAACTAGAGTACTATACATAAGTATACATACAATAATGTAATATACTATTGGCCGTAGAGTATATCATTGCTTTTACAGTGCGCGTGATTTGCAGTAGAGAAATTATTAAATATTAATTTGTATTATATTACGTAGCAACAAAGATATTCGTAAAGTAATCTGATAATATTAAAGGACTATTGATTATTCTTATAAAGTTATTGTTTATCAATAAATGAATCAATTTATTTTATTATTAAATTATATCTATGTCTAAATGTCACTTAATAATTCGTTTATATATCTGTTATTGTAACTATTCATTTCAAAGATATGATAACACATAGTTATTATGTCGATACACTTTTCATTTTGTTCGGTAATTATAATTTTATTTTTGTTAAAAAATTAAGCATGATTACCGATGGTATAATATTAAAAATATTTGATTTATGTTGAGACAAGTATTATAAGATAATTTATTTCGATATTTATAAGATTCATTTTTAAGTTAATCATTTTTTGAAATTTAAATAGTCGTTTTGATATTGGTAGTATGGGAGAAGAAGAAATCGTAATTGATGATGCAGATGAATGTTCTAACTTTGTAAATACACAACGAAAAAAAGACGAATCATCTTCTACTCAAGTAATGCCATTATTATATTTTCAACCCAGTAAAATACGTTCAAATCAACCAACTACTTCGGATGCGTTAACAACATCATCTGCTCAGATAACAACAATTATCAATCCAATCAATAATTCGGTAAGTTTTATGCATATTATTAATAATATTGTATGACGTCACTAAAAAAATCCATTTTAATAACATATTTTTTCTAATCAATAGATTGTTACCAGTCAAAATAAAGTATTTATACAAGGGCAAAATTTATCTCAGAGTAAGCAACATTTTGTTCTTAGACGTAGCCCGGTTACCAGTATTAATACGACCACGAATTCTGCAAATCAAGGTCAAAAACAGATTTTATTTAGAAAATCCAATGTATCTACTGCTCAGATATTACCTTTGAGCACAACTTCATCACCATCTCCATCTCCATTGCCTCAATCACAAACTTTATCTTCTTCACCACCACCTGCACCACCATTACCACTTCTATCGTCAACATCAGTTTCTTCATCACAAGATAATAATTCGATGAACAATCAGAGTGGAAAACATGCTTTTGCTTATCTTGGAACACTTATAAAACCCACTAACAAACCCCGTGAATCGGTCGTTATTCCAGCAGGTAAAATTTTATTGAATATATTTTTTTTATAAACAATTACTTTTTAAAATTTTTTATTTATACGAATTTTTATTTACATCTATCAATGAATAAAAACTTCTCTCTCGAACAGGTGCTATTTCTTCAAATCAAATATCAAAACAAAAATTAGTTATTGCTCCTGTTATCACTTCATCAATACCTCAAAATTCAACAAACACTACATCAGGATCACAGCTCAATACACCTATTGCGAAACATATGACAAATCTTTTATTGCCGGTCACAGCTATTCCTCAACAGAGTTTGTATAGTTTACATTTTTTGATTGAATAATTCTTTTTTTCAAGTCATTCCAATTAAATTAAATTCTCTTTATTTTTAGTATTACGGGAGTCAAAAAACTCAAATTCGTCAGCTAATCCACCACCACTGCACCCAATAAATAAAATCGGAAATTTACTGTCTGTTAATAAACAAAATAATAATAATACTACAGACAGTATAAAAATAACCGAAAATCCGGATTCAGCTGTTATCACACCAATACCCAAAAAGGATGATAACCTTGTTCAGCCAGAAAAAAGAAAAAAAACTATAAGCAATATTCTTCGTGGATCCGGAGAAAAGAGAATAAAAAAGCAAAGTCTACCTAAATCGAATGATTTTAATGACAACGCGATTGATGAAACTTCATTTATGTCAAGTCAAAATACAACTGATGATTTAGATAAAGAAAAAAAGTCACAAAACGATGATGATATCACATTAATTAAAGTTGTTCCAAGTCAAGAAAAGAAAATGAAAACAAATCAAGTTATTGATGATGATATAAAAATCGAAATGATTAAAACGACATGTGTTATTCCATCAACCACTCAAGAAACCCGAATGGAAAAGAAGAATGATGTTGAATCAAATGCTAAAACAGAATCAAATGAATTAAGTAGTAATAAAGTGATAACAGTTACAACAATTACAACTACATCGTCGGCAATGACAACAACAGTAACAACAGCTACCACTAGTTCTATTACTAATACTACCAATTCAAGTTCTATTATTAATAATCATTTCAATAATCATAATCATTATAATAATGATCCTAATTTTGATGTAAACAAAGCTTTAGAGTGGAAAGATGGTGTAGGAACGTTACCGGGGAGTACATTAAAGGTTGGTATAAATTGTTATCGTCACTAATAATTTTTAATATTTTCAAGTATTAGATTGATCGATTTTTTTATATGTTTATTCAGTTTCGCATAAATGAATTCGGATTAATGGAAGTCGTAGATGATGATGAAAATAATAAACAAGATAAGCAGCATATTAGTATTGGTGACAAAGAAAATGTATGTTTATTACAAAATTCTTCCAAATCAGTCATTTCTAACACTGAGAAAAAAAGTAAGTATAATTATTTTCTGTTTTTGAATAAATAAAAGTATATCGACATTAAAAATTAATTCTTACATATTGATTTATGAATGATTCAAGATGAAGATAAAAAAATACGTAATACTTCGTCTGCTGATACTTTTTATTGCTGTGAAAGTTGTGGATGCCATGGTCTTGCCGCCGAATTTGAAAGTCCTATATCATGCAGTCCAGATTGTACCGAAAGAATTGAAGCGAAAAAGCAACATCAACTTCGAAGGGAAAAAGAAGCCCGGTAATTAATAATAATTATCGTCAACATTATTAATTTCTTTGAACGTATAATGCATGTAAAATATATTTTTTTTCTAATATTAGAGATTTACGAGCTAAAAGAAAACGGAAAAAATTATTACAAGAACAATTAGCAAAACGACAGGAACAAGAGGATAAAGATGTTGAGAAAACATGTCATCCAGAAAATATTTTAACAAAATCCGAAACAGATGAAGATTCAAAAGATACTACTGTTACTACTTTACTTGATGATGAAAGTCAAAGTGATCCATCAGATTCAAGGGTATTTAATTGAAACTACAATTATTCAAAGTTATAAAATTTATATACATGTTTAAAATAATATCAAATATTTTTAGTATCCGTGGCAAAAAGTAAAATCAGGATTTTCATGGGCCAAATATCTTGATTATACAAAAGCAAAAGCAGCCCCTTTGAAACTTTTCAAGGATCCATTTCCTTATGGAAAAAACGCATTCAAAGTTGGTATGAAGCTAGAAGGTATAGATCCAGAGCATCCAGCGCGGTATTGTGTACTTACAGTATCTGAAGTAGTTGGTTAGTACTTAAATTTACAAAATTACTTTAATCTATTAAATTCGATAATTATCTGGTGATTTTGTATTCAATATGATACTCAATTTGTTTAATAATGAATTTAGGTTATCGTTTACGTTTACATTTTGATGGATATCCGGAAAATTTTGATTTCTGGGTAAATGCTGATAGTATGGATATTTTTCCGGTGACTTGGACTGAAAAAACTGGACATAAACTTGATCCCCCAAAAGGCTATGTTCCAAACAATTTTAATTGGCCAGCGTATCTTAAAATTTGTAAAGCTACTCCAGCACCAAGAGCAGCATTTGCTTGTCATAAAAGCGTAAAAAGTGTAAGTTTTTCAAATATAACTACATAGTTGCATCAATAATTAAGATGATGATTTTTTAATATATAGACGGTATATCCAACAATGGCATTTCGTGTTGGTATGAAGTTAGAAGCCATAGATCGGAAACACTCGTCATTAGTCTGTGTTGCCAGTATAGCTGATATAATGGATTCAAGAATACTTATACACTTTGATTCTTGGGATGAAGTATATGATTATTGGGCTGATGCAAGTTCACCATATATCCATCCAATTGGATGGACTTTTTATAATGGCCAAAGCCTTACACCGCCTAATAGTAAGTAATATTTACGCATTGTCATTTGTTTTAACATAAATATTCATTATAGAATATAATTATCAAATTGTATAAATATTTTTAAGATTATAAAGATCAAGGAACATTTAACTGGGATACATATTTAAGAGATACTCGTTCTCTTCCGGCACCAGCGAGAGCTTTTAAACAAAGACCACCGTGTGGTTTTAAACGAGGGATGAAGCTTGAAGCCGTAGACAAACGAGTACCACAATTAATTCGTGTCGCGACAGTTGAAGACGTAAAAGATCACATGTATGGATTAATTAATTAATATATTCAAGTAATTATATTGAATACGTTATATAAATATAGATAATTACTATAAATATTTTAGGATAAAAATTCATTTTGATGGATGGCCAGAAAATCATGCATATTGGGTAGACGATGACTCTCCAGACATTCACCCAATGGGATGGTGTTTCAAAACTGGACATCCTTTAGAACCTCCTTTAAGTAAGTATAATAAATAATTTGCAAAATGTTTAAATAAATTAAATTCAATTTATTGAATAAAAATTTTTACAGCTCCAGAAGCTATGAGTGAACGAACAGAGTGCGGTACACCAGGCTGTCGAGGAATTGGTCATATAAAAGGCCCTAAGTATGCAACTCACAATTCGCCATCTGGCTGTCCTTACTCACCTCAAAATTTACAAAAAACACGAATGGTTTCGGATAGATTGTGGACTAAAAATGAAATTTACAATTATGATGAAGATTCAACTGATAAGCCGAAATTAGAAAAAACTATTTTAAAAGTAAAGGCAAATAAACAATTAGAGAGAGTTTCATTATTCAACTTTAATAGTAAAACTCTAAAATATGACAGAGACACAAAACAAGAAGACGATGAATTATCGGACAAAAACGAAAAAGTTGAAATATCAGAAAGGTTATTTTTTTTTTGCAACTTTATCATTATCTATTATATTAGTACTGTGATTTTTACAAGTATGCTTAGATTTGAACATTTCATCATTAAAGTAATTAATATACTATTTTTTTTAATACAGATCAGGTAAATCGAAACATTTTCAAACTGATATTCCAACAGATGATGATGAACATATAAGGAGGAAACGTAAAAGGTATGGTATTTAATGAAATTTTTTTCTAATATATTAATACCATGTTTAATTTATAATAAATTTTTAGGAATCAAACTTCTGAAGAACGTTCACAATGTTCTCTATCAAATAACAATTCAATTACGTTTGGCGGAGATACATCAAATAATTCTATCTCATATACTACTAATATATCTGATAAACAATTACGTACTGAATTGTACCAATCAGTATATAATCCTGGTTACAATCCATTGCCGGATGCACCTCATGTATGGGCTAAACATAGTAATGCTTTGAATCGAGTTGTATCTAAACAAAATACAAATCCTCGTAGATGGTCCAACGAAGAAGTAATTAAATTTATTCAAAGTGTTCCTAATTGTAAAGATGTCGGTAGTATTTTCCGCCAACACGTAAGTAATCTGGTTATATTTTATTTAGAAAATTTCGTTTAATTACTTTTCATTATATTATTAATTAAAATCTATTTTACAGAGTATTGACGGCGAAGCATTTTTAATGTTGACACAAGATGATTTAGTTACATTATTGGGTCTAAGATTAGGTCCAGCAATTAAATTATACAATAGTATTGTCTTATTACGACAAAAGGCAACGTGAAACATTGATCACTTTAACCAAACTTCATATTTCTTAGAGTCTATCATATAATAATTAAGTATAATTATTACTATCATATTATTGAAATTATTGTATGCTTTATTGATGCTCTAATTATTATCATTAACGATATGAACATAAAAATATGCACCACTATTATGAACTATATAATACTGCATATTACGATCTTATTATTTTTTGTCACTGTACAAATGTACATAAAGAGATACATTACGAATAATTGTTAAATTTTAGATTAAGAAGCAATAAAAATTTTTTTTAATGTTACATCAGTTTATTCAATTAGTTATTAATAATTTCAGTAGAAAATATTAAATCGAAACCATTGAATATTTTTGAGAACATAATTCACTGTATTCATACATGTATACACAACATTCATAATAAATGTATCGTGAGTCTAAAAAAACTTTTATTGATACAAATTTCTGTGTAATTTTTTTAATTTGATATGTACAGTGTTATTGTTATAATCAATGTAAAATTTAATTAATAATAATAAACGTAATACTATTGATATTTATTTGTAAATAAAATATTTAAGTATATAAATTAACATCATAATTCACTTTTTCTGCAAATGTCCTTAGTAGACGTTTATGATATAATTCATACATATCTGCGCTAAAAATTTATACTAAGATCAAATTTCTTAGTTCAGTCGTATTAAACTACACTTGAGAACACTGTATATGTATGTGTGTATTTACGCTTTGGTTAGACGAGTAGTAATAGATGGTTACGATAAGAAAATATCTAGAAAGATTTAAGAAAAAACAAATAGTGGTCTTTTTATTTCAACTAAATTCAACACCAACTACGTTTAACAGAGAAACATGTATGTATGTATGTATGTACGTATGTATGTATGTATATGTTAATGCTGTCACGCATTCTACTGTTTCAACGGCATTATGTAGTTTATATTAGTATTCCAATGGTTCCAGTTTAGTCGACATGTTCCATGTGCTAGTCTGGCAAGCACTTACAAACACAAGTAGTCGGTTAAGCATGGTAGATTTGCTTGCTGTTCGAGCGATGTCAGTCGGTGGCTGTCGGTCACCACCAACGTATGGTTATGTGTTAGATCAATGAAATGAATTTGCAATGTATTTGAGTTATTCGTAATGTAATATGTTTAGTGTAAATTTAAAAGTGTAATAATAAATAATTACAATATCAGTACTGTTAATATTTATTTTATATGCAACGAGTAGGAATTTAATTATTATTGACATATTAATGAATGTTAGAAGTAACTCTCAAGGTAGTTATATGTTTTACTAACATTAAAAGTACAACTACATAAACAACGGTACAATGTTTACCTTTAGTTTTTGTAAAGATTCACAAGGATATAGATATTATTTATATCAAAATAAGTGTAGAAGTGATGGTGTTATGATTAAGTTAAAAAATTTATTGTCTGATATATATCACATAAACAGTAAAAACACATATATCAGCAAATAGTGTACATATTTTATAATAAAACAAAGTGTCACTACTTACTTTATACACATTTTTATGAGATAGTTAAATATAATAAAAAACAGTGTACTAAGCATATATTTATATTTATATTACAACATAAATTCAGTTAAAATCAACTGAATTTTAAAATTCTGGAATTAATTCTATGTTAAATTATTTAATTGGGCACGATTATTAAGTGTATAATGTAAATAATAACATTGAAAAATTGTAAAGAGTACACAATTTTGAGTGTGAATGATTATTATTGATATTCTATCATTGATAATTGAGGAAAACATTCGTTATTTTTAATGTTGAACGTATTGACAAAGTGTGTGGCCACTTCCAGAACGGAAGTAACTTAAGAGAACTTGCAGTAATTAGACTGCAGAAACCGTCAGTGCTAATACTGCACTGTAGCCATCATCTGCCTCATTAAAATGCTTCGCAGTCTATCAACAAGACGAGGAATACGGATTTTGGTGCTCATTCTCGCGACAGCGTACGCCACTGTATTAATATATCAAGCAGTTTCCGCACCACGCCAGGTGATGATAATTAGCTTGACATTTATTCTAACATTTAACGTACATTACTATTCTATTTTTTTATCGTTATTTTAGTTTTGATTGTGTTTATTATTTTAATATAATTTCAACTATAAATCATATCAAAGAATAATTTAAATTTCTTAGAAAATATAGTATTAAAATAGAAGACATTTTATTATACTAAATAAAAAATGGATTATTGTATAAATAATTAATTTTTTATTGAAAGCAGTGGCCTGCAGATTCTGTAATGACCATGGAATTAAGTAATAACATGGAAAATACAAATAGTCTCGAGGAAGAAGAAGAAGAAGAAGAATCGGAAGAGCTAGATAAAAATAAAATAAAGGTGTTTGAAGTACAAAAAGCAATTAAAGAAAAAATTTCTATATCTTCTTCAGTCATTACAGCTACAGCAATATCTTTTTCGACCGATCTTGATGACTTGTTCATTAGCGTCAAAACCACTCGTCATTATCATCATTCTCGTTTACCAGCAATAATTATTACGTGGTTCCAGTCTGCTAAAAATCAAGTAAATAACAATTGCCATCTTTTGTAGGAATAAATCAATTTATCTTATACAAACCTTAATAAAATTTTACCATTCTCTAAGTCTATTTTTGGTTTGAGTCATCTGATTCAATTATAAGAATATGTAATTAAAATAGTGTAATTTATAAATGTCACTAAGAATAGAAATTGCTTATTTACTTTGAAGAAATTACGTCTATTAAAGAGGAAAAGTGGCTATAAATTTGTGAAACTAAGGGTAGAACAAAACTTTAATAGAAGGGTTGAAGATTCATAAATTGCTTTTAAACATATTTTCCCAATGCAAATCGTAAAACATTGGTTTTTCTAATTTTTTAAACAAAGTAAACTTTGAAAGCAATTTGCTTAAAAGTTAGGTGTTAAATAAAATATTTTATATCGTCTAAATGTGATTGATGCATTGTGAAAAGTTCATTTACGAGACATATTTATTTATATTTTTTTCATAATAAAAAAACTTTGAATCCTTTACAAAGCTGTTTAAAACATAGTGTTTGCATTTCCAAGTTTTGTTGAGAAAAATAGTTTACAGTTTATTAACCGAAGAAAATAGCATAGGAATTCTTACAAACTCTATATTCAACTTTTTTTGCACGATATTTTTTTATTGACAATAGAATAAAAAAAACTAACTCATGTATTGATATACATTTTTCTATTTATTACAGACATGGTTTTTTACCGATAAAGATGATCAATACTTTCAAAACTTAACGAGTGAGTAACATGTGCACTTATAATTCCAAATGATAATAAAAATAATAATAATAATCTTAATAAAAAAAATGGTTGTCTGTTACAAAAATAAAGAAGTAAACCTATTAAATGAATTGATTGAAGAAGAGAGAAACGGCACACGCGAACGTTCGGGCACCGTCCGACATTTGACCTCACACGCGCACTGAACTGGAATATTAACCGTATGCTTAATATATGAACCATAAACTATAACTGATAAATAACGGGCTTTTAAATTGAACTCATTGATAATATTTGTACACAATGTACAGTTAAATAAATCTAGTTTTAATGAAATTTATTTCAGATGGTCATATGATCAACACCAAATGCTCATCTTCTCATAGTAGAAGAGCTTTGTGCTGTAAAATGTCTGTTGAGTTCGATAGGTTTCTTGACAGTGGCAAAAAGTGAGTACTATATTATAAAATTTACAAAACAAAGTCTTTTTTCCTTTCTCTAAACCTTTTTTATGGAACAAATAATATTGATAACTTTTTTATTTCATTGATATGTTAAGTATGTGATCGAACTGACACTGTTTGTTTACTCTACTCTAATAATTGATTTAATTAAAAGAGCGTATTTAAATGTAATAAAATACGTCATACATTCGAAGATATATGGAAGCTAACATGTAAATTTTCATTTTACAATAAAAAAAAGAATTAAAAAATATACCGGTTCAATTTATACAAGTAGTGAAAAATTTTTTGATGGCGATATAATATTTTTACGTATACAGGTATGCTCTCGTAGTGATAGGAGTTGTGTGATGGCCGTTGTTATTTGCAGATTCACTGGGTGTGTGGTTTCGTGAAGCGTCACTTGAAGAACTGGTTTGCACCTGATACCAGCTTTGCGATCAAATGACGCCTTTCATTCGTTCTACCCTTTTTCTCTGTTCACCAATTCTGTTTTCTTTTTTACATTCTAGAGCATATTTACATCAGATTTACTTATTACTATTACATTATTGCAAAAAGTACAATAATATTTTTTTATTTATTTATTATTACGTAATGATCAGTAAAACATTAGCTTATTTGTTGTATCAATGAATGTTTGTTGTTTATTATTTAAGTTCAATGTTCACATAAAAAGGGAATGAATTCATAAATATAGATGAATTTATTTCATGCTTTCCAAAGCATAACGAAGGTATACTTATAATAGAGCATTCTAAGAAAAAAAAAATTTTTTCAATAACAAATTTGTCGTAATTTTATTATAAAATTGTGAATATATTTTTTGAATATTTTTTAGTAGTGCAAATATTAGAAAAAAGAATAATTTTTTTCTATGAGATTAATATTGTATGATATGAGTAGCTACAGCTTCTCCGGAAGAAACTCGTTGACTCTTGCCACACGATGCATGATTGGTACATCCGCTACTATATGCTGAAGTCATATAATAATAATAATAATAATAATAATAATAATAATAATAATAATAATAATAATAATAATAATAATAATAATAAATAAATAATTACGTCAAGAAATATTCACTACACTAAATATATTTAGAAGAAAAGTATCGTACAAGAGAAAAAATTTTTGTTCTATTCAATGTTTACGAAGAGTCGTAAACTAAAATATAACCAATTTCTTTACTATAAACTTAACTTTGAAAATACATATATTTCTTATGACTAATAATATATTTTATTTTTGTTTTGCAGATGGTTTTGCCATTTTGATGATGATAATTATGTAAATGTGCCACGTTTGATAAAATTATTAAACAACTACAATCCTCGTGATGATTGGTACCTAGGCCGACCTTCAATTCCAGCACCTTTAGAAATTATGAAACAATACGATACTAGTTCATTCAAACGATCAGTAAGTAAAATGCTGTAAAATATATTTAAGGTTGATGAAAAGTAATTATAAACAATGAACCTTTTCGAATTTATAAAATATTGATTTATTTTATAAAAATTTTCATAATAATTATTTGCAATACATTAAGAATCATCCTAGTTGAGTAAATTTAATTTATTTATATTTGTTGAATTGTCGACGAATAATTGAGTAACCTTAATTTATAACTTTCAACCAATAATCTGCATCCTATACTTAAATTGTATATACTTTTTATCATTCCTTAGTACTCAAGTTACATACTTTGACCATTCACATTTCCCTTCACTATCTTCATTTTATACATATAATCGTACGTAGTATCCGGCCTGCACCACAAATCATTCCTTGGTTGCTATTTTATTCTGACTGCTCATATTCCAGTTTACTGATGTATATTTCTGCATTCTCTGTTTTAATTATTTTCTTCTTATTTTTCAAAGTATCAATTTAACATTAAAAATGTTGAGGCGGTAACAATATACGTTATCTCTATAATATAAGTTTACATACAAAAATAAATATCAACTTGAAATGCAAAATTAGATACAGACATTTCATGGACACAAATTTACCACTAGTTTGCTCGAACGAGAATTTAATTAGTTAGCAACCCAGGCACGATCTTACATTTCGATCGGTAAACCCGTTGGTAAGGGCTACCTACAGACGTGACCACCGGGTTAACCACTTAGTTCATGAACCAATAATGGGCGCAAATAATTTGCCAACATATACACTTTTAGTGATCACATTTATGTAAGATAAATGATTAATTAATTTATTATGTATTACAGCAAAAAGTGAAGTTTTGGTTCGCTACAGGCGGTGCAGGCTTTTGTATCAGTAGAGCTCTTGCGCTTAAAATGATTCCAATTGCTGGGTAAGTGTATCTTTTTCACTTGTTTTATTTTTAAACTGGGTTTTTGAATTAAATCAATGATAAAAGAATTGATTGAAAATAAATAACTTAATCGAATCAACACTAAAGATAATTTAATCATAATAATTAATTATTTATTATTGATTGGCTATAATTACAATACTTGAATTACAACTTTTCTCAATTGCTATAATAAATACAGACATTTTTTGAGCTGTACCATATGTTTTTAAAAGAACATACAGTTTAAATTTTATGAGATACAATAAATCATAAATATATAGTTCTTTATGAAATAAATGTGATAACAAATTTTCTGTATGTAAAACAAATTTCTCTATTAGTGGTTTAGTAGAAAATTAAACAGACGTTACAAGCAATTTTTTGTGTATAAATAATTTACTATTTGTATGTTGGAATCTTCTTCATAAATAAAAGTACAAAGACACGTCACGCAGAAATTATACGTTCTAGAAACGGCGGCATTTTCTTATTCTGGCAATTATCGTGAGCAGCGAAGCAAATAAAACTACGTACAGCCACCGTTGCTCTATATAGACAATTGTATACATACATATAAGTATATAACGAATATCTGTGTATGTATAAAAGGGGAAGTAGATTCTCACGTAGAGCCCCTTGAGCTAAAGCCACATCGTACTCTTATACAGCATCGAAACAAAGTACATACAGTAATAGAAGATAGCACACACAATTGCAATTGCAAGAGTTGGAAACGTCGACCGTTCCGCTTGGCGATCACCTTGAGAATTATTATGTACCTTGAGAATAATTTTACATACACAGTGTCTGTAAAATAGTAAAAGAAATCCTACATGGTACTTATATAGCAGAATTTTCTTGATAATAGCGCTTGATTTAAGTTATAACTTCAAGAAAAAAAATCACACCATAACTGTATTATTGGAATTTATTTCCTCTATCTAGCTGATACACAAAATTAAAATAACAAGTAAATCAATATGAGTTATAAAGTATAACGTATATATTCATGAAGTGAATGCCATGTTACATAAATATGTCAGACTTTATGATTACTTTTTTGAGTTAAGTTCTTTTTTTTCATAATATAATTGCTATTAGGTAGCAGATATTTTTTTATTCGTTCATTATAAGAAAAATAAAAAAAGAGAAGACAGGGTGAAGAGGATAGTTTCTGCACCCACTTAACTCTGAAATTTCGATTTGGAAGGTTGGAATTTTAACGAGGTCTATATTCCTTTCGCAGTCTGTGTATATTTGTTAGTAATTTTTTCAATCTTTTTCGGATGAATTTGTAAATTTTTTCTTTCTTCTAAACCTACTCTAGAAAGAAACCCAACAATTCAATAATTGAATTTGAAATATTTATTTTGATGAATATTTAAAGAGAAGTATTTGGCAGAAAATAAATAAAAATAAAACAACGTGATAATGTAGCATATCCTATAAATTACTTAGTTAAAAGCCAAGAAGAGTAAGGATGTTGCTGATCAATTTACAGGCTATTAAAAAAAAACATGAATCGTCGTAGTTGTATGATCGTAGTGTGGTGTAGTCCTTTTTTCATTTTGTTTTGCGGGATCAAGTTGAAGGGGGTTGGGTCGATCAGGAATCCAACTGAGGTATTCACTAATGAGTGCGTCTTTCCGACAAACAAACGGCCCTATCGAAACAGAAAATGTTAATTAAGCATACTTTGATATTTATACATTTTCATTTCAATTTTAATTGACACTTGATGCTAATTTTTATTAGTAAATTATTTACTGTAAATTTTCATGTACATTAATATTAAGCACATTAATGTTATACACAGTGATAAAGTGTCATTATATTTAAAATATTTGTCGTAAATGTTTCGGAGTTTCACACAAATATATACAAGACAAGACTGATGCTATAAAAGTTGTGACTACCTGATATCCTTTTAATTGGCTCGATTTATGTTCTCAAATTGTTCTATACAACATCTCTTTTGTCGTTGATATATATACTTATGTATATCAATATTTCAGATATCATTCTTTTATACGTAAATTACTTCTTTTTCAGATTGATTATAGCTTTCTTTTGCTTTGAAAAATATTATTCTATTTGATATTATTGACAAAAAACACATGTTAAATTATGTAACGATTTTTTATTGCTCCATTTTTTATTTTATTTTTTTGTTTTTCAGTTTGATACAACATATTTAATAATTCGTTATTTTTAATTTATTAGCGGCGGAAAATTTATCTCAGTAGGCGATCGCATCAGACTTCCAGATGATGTAACAATGGGATACATAATTGAACATTTATTGAAAAAAAAACTCACAGTTGTTGAGTTATTTCATTCACATTTGGAGCCAATGAAATTTCTCAATGAAGACACCTTTCATGATCAGGTAATGCTTTCCTAAAAAGTTTAAATATAACATGAAACCATAAAAGTCAGGTTTTTAAAATGAATTCTTACAGGTATCCTTCAGTTATGCCAAAGGTCCAAAAGACGAGTGGAATATCGTTACAGTTAATGGCTTTGATGCCAAAAATGATCCTAACAGGTGATTTATGATTTTTTTTTATTTTCGATATTCCTATATGTTTTTAAAGTCAATGTTTTTGAGCTTTTTATTGAGTCAAGTACATAATTTGGTTTCGTTTATTTACCTGCAAAATTCTAAATGTAGAATTCGCATCTAGAGAGTTAATGCTTAACCAATAATGATGGAAAACGACATCAAATGTTATTTTAATAATTTATATTATATAATCCTCAACTTTTTAAAAATAATAGAAAATACTAAATACTTTAATCGGATCAAGATTTTTCAAGCTATTTATTGAAAATTCTTTGTTTATATTTAATAATAAAACTACTTCATCATGGTATCGTGTTTGTATTCTAGTTTTACATCTCATTTTTTTCGTTATTTATTTCATTGTGGTTACATTTCAGGTCGAATATTACAGTTATATCATTTTATATAAGTGCAATTGAATACATGTAGTATTTTCTAATCAACCAACATAGAAAGAGAAAACAATCAAATGTACAGTTGTACACAACTACGCTCATTATATTTGAATCGACCGACCTTTATTGTATTTATTAATGATTTCATTTCAGATTTCGATCTATCCACTGTCGACTATTTCCACGTGCAGATTACTGCTCACTCCGGTGATGATTGCTGCGAAGTTTTTAATTAACATCATTGTTATAAATTATGATAAGTAAGAAATCATCTAAATTTGAAAAATTTATTTAAATATGTTGTAAATTCCAAAGAATATGAAGACTATCCAGTTGACTGAATATGTACGTATATGTACTGTACAATCAAGATAAATATATCATAGAAATATTAATTAATAATAAGTATTGTAGAACAATAATATGAGTTTTAAGAACATAATTTTTTTAAATTTCATATACATTAAAATAATAAGTCATTAAATAAATTAATAATGACATTGAGTCAATACTTAGGATTTTTTTTATTTAATTCGTAATACTTGATTAAAAATTTTACTATAAAAATCTATTTTGTAATGGAAATTTGTCAAAGAAAATATGTTAACATGTATCAATCAAATATCAAATTATCTTTCTGTATAAACAGCTAGTATATAATAAGATAAGTAAACACATACACACATGTGTAATATGAGAATTATTATTAAATTATTTTTAAATACTTAACTTTAAATATTTTTTACAATGAAAAACTAATTTTTTTATGTCGACTCTAGTCTTTATGTAAAAAAGGATCGACATTGTGATATGTATGTTTTAAATGTACATTATTATTGTTATATTATTATGATTATTATTCATACTTTTTTGTCTATTTTTTATACTATTTTTAGTTCACAAGTGTACTGAAACACTTTAAAAGATTATTTATGTAAATATGAATAATGAGCAAAAATAAATAATATTTTCTTCAATTTTTTGTGTTTTATAATAATCCGATTAACTTTAGTTTTGGTTTTCTAAATTTTTCAGTTACTTTGAATTTCTTTTATTATGTACTATAATCGAATTTAAAGTAGCACAAAAAATTAATTGACGAAAGAGATATTAATTAGCTTTTACAAAACTATAGATTGATAGTGTGAATAAAAAGATAAAAAATAAAAATTATTATTTGCTTATTATACAAAAATTTAAATCTAAAACTGATGAATTGTTTTGTTAAAATATCAATATCCTTTTTAATTGTATAATTTATTTATTTTATCATAGTTTATATTAACTTCAAAAGTATGTAAAAAGCTTTTTCCCGTAATTTAAATAATATATGACTACTTTTCATACAAGATATCCACTTCGAGTGCAAATATAGTAGAGAATATTATTTGTTTGCAGCTTCGACATTTATTACTTGCCTAAAAATGAATTAAAAAAGTTTCAATGGTTTAGATGAGTATACTTATTGTTTCATAACGGGCAAAATATTGAATATACGTTCATATTGACAAAATAGTCAATAAAGTGAACAATAAAAAATTATTAGTGAGTAAAATTAAACATTATTTATACGATAATATTGAATTTTCATTAGGAAATTATATTAAGAATCTACTTTTAATGTTATTTTTGCAACAATCTTTAATTAATTTACCAAAATTCTCAGTTTATAATTCTTAACTTCTGGGTAGAATACAATTGAGGTATATATTTATTGTAAATCTGGGTTGCATGGATTAAATTCAACTAGGTATACATATACGTATATCAAGTATTTGACTATTCGACCTAGGCATGTGTGATGTCGATTCACATTCCATTTTTACCCAGTGAATATTTATTTTTTGTGTGTAGGTATATTACTTAGAAGTATTCTATAGAATTTAAAAAAGAAAAAGTATCGCACATGGATAAAATGTTTGAGTGTTGACAGGTCACAGCAGACGGGTAGAAGCAGTAATATTGCGGTATGCAGGGTATGTGGCAGTTAGTGGTAGCGGTGAATTAGGCGCTGCTGGCTAGACGACTGGCGTTGACTTGCGCTGTGATCGATATACAGAGCGAGCGGGCATATTACAAAGAATAGGAAGAAAAAGATGTGGAGGAAGAAAGGTAGCTCGCAAGGGGTGTACTTTAGTGATGACAACAATGGCAGCCAGTCAGCCACCTCCATCTAGATCTTCATGTCTAACGCTATCTCCACCTTTATTATTACACTATTGAGTACGACCACAGACCACTAGGTATCTCTACATAACATAACCCGAGGGTTAAAGACTGCTAGCTTCTGCTGGTCATTGCTAGCGCTCCGCATTAAGAGCATTCGGGTGTACTTAGAGCTTTGAGCAGCTTCGAGCAGACATGGTGCTGCTTGGGAAACACTACAGTAGGGGTGGTAGGTAGAGTGTTATAGTAAGGGTGATGGTGAAAAAGGGAGAATGTGAGCAAGCCCGAGCAAGACTCGTTCTAGGAATCACGATGTGCTACGGAGCTCAGTGAGACCCGCGTTACAATCGCGTACAGTACCGCGCACTCTCCAACTACCATTGCGAACTAGGTCATCCCGCTTCTGCACGGCTTGCTCTCGCAGTCGCACCATAGCCGGCCGTGCAGTAGCGCCCAGAATTTCCTCTATTTAGCTGTATTTTATTATCCATATATAGTTTCTTTTACATCCGTCTATTTTCTATGGGACTATTTATTCTTGGGCTACGGTATTTATTAATTAGTCAAATTGAACAATCACTTTACGTGACTGCATACTGTTTTATTATTTTTTCTATCACTGATACCTATATCATTGGAGTTGGAAAATACATATAGGATAATCAATTCAATAGTTAATACATTATCCACTTCATTTGCAACTAATTTGGTGGATAATTATCAAAAGAAAAAAAAAACAGTGCTCTGATTCGTACGATTCATAAATTCCTACATTAATTTTATAAAAATTTATGCAAATGTGAACGATTTGTATTAATCATTAATCAATTAATCTTATCCATAGATTTTAAAAATTAATTTTATTATATCATAATTGTCTATATTTCATCTTGTCAATTTTATAAAAATACCATGTTTTCAAACTTGAAAAAAATCTACCTTTAAAGTTACTCAAGCTTATGTCTTGAATTGTAAATGATTTCTGCCCGGGTGAGACATTCATAAACGTAGTTTACATTACTAAAGTGTCTGAAGCCAGTACTACAAGGTCACTTGTCATTTCACTTACGATGTTTTCATATTAAATAATTAACCTTGTTATTTAAATCATGTTTTACATTTTTCCTTTTGTTTCTTTTCATTGTGTTAATGTAACAACTTAAAGAGAAAAATTTTATTTCATTGAGGATAAGTGAACATCTGAGGTTAATTTAATTCATTATTTGTCTTTTAAATGTAAAAAGTTCACGTCTATAAAAGTATTAATTCAAGTGTTGCTTTTTTTAACTGAGTATAAAAATAAGTTAATTTGTTCACTAGCTAACTTTCTACTTTTCACTAGTGCTTATTTTTCTATCAAATAATATATGTTGGAAGGGTTCGAATAGAATAAACAGAGCATTGTTTTTTTAAATTACATGCTAATTTTTGTATTGATAAAAAGGATTGAATTTTTTTTATCATTGTATAGCAGCCAATAGAGTGGCATAATAATGTTTTTTAATATCGAGTAATAAAAATGATACTTGTCTTGAGTGTGTCGTTCATATTGAGATGAAATAAGTTACTCATAAATAAAATATCAATAGTAAATTTCTGGATGTGTCGCAGGTAATTTAAATTTATCAGTTTTATCTCACTAAATAAACAATTTATTTGAATTAATTGAAATTTTTTGTCAGAGTCTTTTGCATATTACTAATACTTATTCATCTACTTTGTTATTCATATAATTTTAATCTGATGTAAAAAATTACTTATATTTTAATTGAATATCAAAGTGTATGCATGGTCATGCCAACAATAATTTTTAATTGATAATAATTTTTTAATAAAGTTTATAATACATTTATATTTATTGTTAATAATTATGTATTTTATTTTTCAGAAAGTAACAAGTTTTATCATAACTTAAAACTTAATTTTTATCTTCAATAAAATATGCAGGGTAAGTTTATTTTTAATTGTTTTTATTATTTATGACTGAATGTTTTAAATTATAGATAATGTCATTTTATCATTCGAAAAATTTTGATCATAATAATTCTATCATTATATCGATCAATGATATTATCTTTCTATCGGAGTATTAAAGTGAAAAGTGGCTTAGTTTGAACTACTACTTATATTAGTTGCATAGAAATTGTGATACCCTCGGGGAATTATTTATTTTTCGCAGTACCAAAAGAAATACGAATTACGAATATTGAAAGAAATACGAATTATTTTATTTATCTGTTCATCTTTCATCATAATTTCAATATTGTTTTTACGGTTAAAAATAAATAATATAAATTATTTTTAATAAAATTTACATTTAAATAAAAATATTTTAACATATTTGATTTTAATAAAAAATTAAGTTTTTTTCATAATTAACTAAATATAAAATTTCATATTATTTTATCCTTTTATAAATTATTTACAGTTAAATAATCAAAGTAAAAAATTCTTAATCGTTAATTTAATCGTGAAATTAATGTAAATGAATACATTAGATATAAAAGATATCAATAATAACGATAAGAAAATATAAAAGTAACTAAATTCTATATAATCAATGGATATACGTGCTCTTACATATACGCCGAGAAAGCATTTCTTTTGTAGGCACGTATTTTTCCATATAATGTATCGGTGTATCATGTGCATGTATGTGTAAAATTCATGCTCCGTCATCCATGTAGTCAAGAAAATATATTTTATATTTACTAATTTCAAAAAAATTCAAACAAAATGACAACATTGAGTCCATAATAAAAAATTAACGAGTTACAAATGTAAAGAGCTCAACGAATGTAAAATACCATACATTCTGCATTTATATAACCGACTTTATGCAAAGTAAAATATTTTTTATATATATTATTATCAATATTATCACGGGGCTGTTTACTTTGCCACTTAGTGTATTCTGTTTGGTGTCTATTTCTCCTATACGTGAGCTTATACTTGCTATTATATATATATACATATATACAAGACGATATTGTATATCACAACGGACTACATAGGACGCTGACATCGCGCACTCTTTCATCCAACCTCTTGGTTCTTTTTATAGATACCACAGACCCTTTATTTCTTATACTTCCCTTCGTAAGCTTTATGCGCTTTATTCGCTTCGCATTTTTGCTGCAACTCGTACGTGAAAACTCAAATAAAACTGCCTGACTGCAACCTACTGTTTGAGCTACTATTTTGTTGAAAAAAATATCGAAATAGAGATAATAAATAGCGAAAAAATAGGTTATGATTATATATAGTTAAGTCACAGTCACATTTAAGTTGCTTTGTTTTTGTAAAAATAAATATTCAAAAATTTAAGTTGAAAAATATTCCGTCAAGTATCGAATTTTCAAAGTAGTACTTGAATATTTTACTTTGAAAACTTGAAACATATTTTTCAAGATAATTTTAATACTCCCTTTGACAAAATGATCATCCCTTAATTATGGAAAAACAATTTAATAAATTGCAGTAAACACAATCGTCGTTATATTGCTATTGAAAGTGTGAAAATAAGTAAGGACAATCGAAGCTCTTGTGTAATAGTTGCCTACACAGACACTCGAATGTTGAATGGCGGTAGTATTGATCGAACAAACAAGAAGCTCTCCGACTTGATTCGCATCTGTATGAGTAAAATTCGAAAGATTTTTTCTTTTTACAAAATTTTATAAAAATTCATCACTTTCTCGTTGAGAATGAAAGTTAAAGACTAACAAATGACGTAGTTCTGAACACGAAGAGTAAAAGTTTAAACTGTTTATCATTTATAAATACACAACTTTTTTATCGTGAAAATAAATATTTACCTGAAAATGTAACGGACATTTTAATAAAATATATTGTTTGATTGAAATAACAATAGCATGAACAATTAAACAGGGAGATTAAATATTTTTATAAATTTTTAACCATCTTTTTCATTATTTATGCTTGTACACAGTTTAACTTCATAATTGCGTCATTGTAATACTGTATAAAAATTAGATTATTAAAAATACATTCACACCACTTTATCAGTTGAAACGAAACCGATCATGACATCTTTTACCATCGATTCATAGTGCATAAATATATATCACATTCGACTGGCATGTAAGAAATATGTTATTCTATATTACTATGTTTATTATCACACAAACATTCATTTCAATAGATAGATAGATAAAATTTTTTAGTATAAATACCTACGTCGTTTACTATATTGAAGTAAACCAATTTCATTAAAATTACTACAAAAAAGCTATTTTTATAATATGATAAATATCATAATTTTTTACTCACCTGGTTTTTATGATATAATATTTTTTTGTTTTTATTACTTGTTAACTCATGTTGGCGATAGCGGAATTTAATTAATCATTTTCTGTTTTGACTTAAACAATAGAAAAATAGTGTAAGAGTTTAATTACTGTGTAACATTAAGTGGAGAAAATTGTTTAGAAAAAGTAATGATGAAATGCATCAAATTTAGAAAAAAGAACAATGTAAGTTTAAAGAGCATCAAATGATAATCGTACATTGAATAATGAGAACCTCTATGAAAATTTCATCTTGTTCAGATAGACGTTGTCAAGCTTTTGTGCATGAAAAAAGCAATGAATTTTTTCGGTTTTTTTTGTCGTAGTAAATGAAAGTAAAGATTTTATAAGTTTAAATAATAATAAACAACAGGCAATCAGGGCAAAGTGAACATTGTGATTTTTTTCATTTAATTAAAACTTAGGTAGTTTTTAGTTTATAACTATTTTTAGTTGTTATAAATAGAAATATTAATAAACGAAAAAGTACATTGAAATTTATGATGCACAGTATTTTCTAATATCCGAATATATAGATAAGCTAGAAAAATACAAATTTTTCATTAATAAAATATATTTTTTCATAGAAAGTAAATAAATTGTATTGTGTAAAATAAGAAAAATCTATTTCATAAATTTTCATGTACACTCAAGAATTGTTATTACTTACCATTGTTAACGTTATGACTAAAAGTTATTAGGATCATAATTAAGTTTAGTTTTTTTTTTTTATTGTGGATTATACATTTTCGAGAAAAAAAATTATTGAACGTCTTTGGAAAGTTTAGGAATTATTGAGGGTTTTTGAAATGTTTTTTTTTTTAGGGAGATATGTATTTTTTGTTTTCTCCCTCTTTTAACAAGAAAAAAAGTAATTTTTCTATAAGTCTGTTTATGTGAGATGATTCATATTCACTATGTATTGATTAATTTCGAAATTTTTAGTTTAATTAATAGTAATATCCATTCATGTAAAAATCAAACTAATTACAAAAAAGAACTTTTTTTTTTTAATTTCAAGTCATTTGATTAGATGACAATAAAATTTCTTAACAATTCAAAACTTGTAAGCATAAAGTTCCTTTAGTTATAAAAATTTTTATATATGATAACAATCTTATCTATTAAATATGAAAATCACAAAATTATATTTCGATATCTTTTCGATGGATAATTGACATTTGATAATTTAGAAACATTTACCTACTATTATGAATACAGACTAGAAAAAATAATCACATGATCTTTAACAGTATTAATTCTTATTTTAACGATTTGATAACTCATAACTTTTGTTTTGCACTTATGTTTTGGAAACGAATTAATAAAAAAATCAATAAAAGTAGTCAAAATAAATTCGGACAGTAAGTAACGATGAACTTTGATTAAATCGTTAGAAATGCCATTGACGTTATTATATTTAGTAATAATTGTTTTTCAATTAAATAAAAAAAATAATTTATAGATTATCTTTATTTAATTACATGGTAAAATAAATTCAACAATTATAATTACTTAAATTGATAATATGAGAAATCAAGAGATACGGTAGTGTCTCGTGCGCCAAGCATAAATCACCGTCATTTAGCCCTTACGTCACGACGAGGCACTACCGTGTCTCTATACAAATTATAAGATGATTTTTGCAGGTTATAATTTTTAAATTTAAAATTTTTTCCTTATTATAACATAAACATAGGCTGAAATTAAGAATTTGCTCGGAAAGCGATCGTTGATTTTCGATTAAGCATACTATGAAGTATTATAATTGCTTCATTCATAATATACGAAATTGAAAAAATTTCGTTGCGCAAAAATGGAGTAAAATGAGAGTTTATTTATGGAGCAATCATACGTTTTTTTTTTATCAAGTTGGTGATCAGAGTTTTTAATTGCTATGAAGTTCTCTCACTAACAGATTATAAAGTTGGTAACAAGTTAATTTTGCTCGAGCGCGAATATACAAATAATTAAAATATTTTCTGAACAGATTTATTTTTTTTTAATATTCCTCTTTAGTTGATATGTACAAAAAATGGTGAAATCTCATCAAAAACAGTCCCCTCCTTCTGGGCTGTACAAAAATGTGCGCCAAACATAAATAACGACAATGATGAAATTACAAAAAGTCCTAAAATCATTAAACGCCAATTATTTAAATCTACAAATCAACAATATTTAAAATGAATTATTTTCTTCGGGTTTTTTTTTTTTTTTGAAAAAAAATTTAGTACGTTTAATGACACAATAAACATAACAACCAAAAACTTGGCGTGACTGTTATTTATTAATTGGCTTAAATATTTTCAATATTTTCACAATTTCATGCTTTTATAAAATCTTACCAGTCACGCCAAGTTTTTGGTTGTTATGGTTATTGTGTCATTAAACGTACTAAATTTTTTTTCAAAAAAAAAACCCCGAAGAAAATAATTCATTTTAAATATTGTTGATTTGTAGATTTAAATAATTGGCGTTTAATGATTTTAGGACTTTTTGTAATTTCATCATTGTCGTTATTTATGTTTGGCGCACATTTTTGTACAGCCCAGAAGGAGGGGACTGTTTTTGATGAGATATTATTTTACTGTTGAAAAATGAACTATAGTTTCGTGCAATAAAAATTGATTTGTAGTTTTAAAAATAACGAATATAGGGAATGTGATTAAAATTAAATCTTATTAATTCAACTAAATTGAATGATCTTTGTAACATAAAATAGAAATATATATTCAATTGTTTTTTTTCATCATATTCATAATTTTAAAATAAAACATTAATTTAAATAATCTACTTATATTTATAAAAAAAAATATCACTTATTGATTCACTAATTTATTTCAAAATCTCAATAACTTAAAATTGAACTGAAGGGTTTTTTATACTTAACTACGTAATAATTCATTGAAGAAGTGTTTTTAAAAATGTTATCCTTGAGTAAAAGAAGACTTACAAAATTTATATGAGAAAAATATTGTATGGCAAGTTATTTTTTAGTTTACAAACTAAAGTATCAGTATTAACTACTTAACTCTATACTCAATAATATTCGACATTCAATATATATTTTTTTATTTGATATAAAGAATAAAATATTTTAATTGATTTTTTTTTTGTGTTTCACATATTAAAAAATTTTACATAAAATTTGAACAAATATAATTTTTAATTACAGACATTCGCTGGTTAATAAGTATTATTGTTATAATAATAACTCCAATATTTTGCTGTCGGCTAAGTGAATTTCAATGTGGTAATGGAAAATGCATTTCACTCAATAAAGTATGTAATGCTCTAGACGATTGTGGTGACGAAAGCGATGAGCAGCGTGCATGCTCTCGTAAGTATCTCCCACTGTAGCACTATACTTATTTATTAAAGCTCCGCACATTTGATTTATTTATTATTTTATTTCGAAAATTAATGTTTTTATTTTTTACCAAAATCCAAGTGATGCACTTATAATTATTAGTAAAATTGAAGTTTTTAAGTAAAAAACAAGAAAAAATTAACATTAGTAATACGAAAAAATGTTGTATGTATGAGCAGCTTGGTTGTGCTCCGTTGCTTAAGTAGAATGTTGCAGGTTTTGGGCAGACGTAACCAACTGGCTACATGCCAACGCCAAGGGCTTGCATTTTTATTTATTTAGGTCGTAGTCTTCATTATTTTAGTACTTCTTTTTCGATAAAATGTTTACATTTAAACATCTTTTATCAATAAAGTTGATTATTTATTGTCCATACTTATCATATATATTGTGCATAAATAACACATTAAATCCCTGACCATCTGCATGCATAAATATTTCCCCTTTTAAGATTTATTGATCGAGCATAAATGTCAATAATTAATTATGATTTTATGTGATTTATCTCTACTTTATTGAAGCATTCATTTATTATTGTCATTTTAATAAGAAAGTTATCTAAAAGTTTTTTTTTTATTTTTTATTAATTATGATTATTAATTATAGCTTGTAACAAAACGTATTATGGTGACATTGGGAAAACTTATTACCTCGAATTACATCGACCGAAAGAAGATAAAGTACCATACTTTTGTAAACTTACATTTAACGCTCCTGGTAATGAACTGGGAGATATTGTTCAGGTATTTTTTCGGATTTTATACTTTTTTTAAAATTATCACTATTTAAAAGAAACAATTTAATAGATTTTAAATCTGATTTTGCCTAGTTGACTTTTGATAGTTTTACTCTTGGAAAATTCGTATCGTTTACTTCGGAAGGATGTCCCGATGGATCATTACAGATATCAGAAGCTCAACGACCTGATGTAGGTGGTCTGTGGTGCGGTACATCTTGGGGTCCTGCTATTTATTACAGTGAAACACCAATCGTTACCATATCTCTTCGACTCCTCAGATTAAGTCAAGATCAAACGGGCTTTAATTTTGATTTTCGAATGGCTTATAAAATGATTAAAAAATCAGATGCTGTTGTGCGATACGGAAATCCATTTGTCGGTAAGATTAACAAAATAATTTTTCTATTTACTAGAATTAAATTATTTACTAAACTGATTAAGTACTATGAGCTTTAAGTCTGATTTTTTTAAAACGATTCGAAACAACCGGAGATAAAAAAGTTTGAAGTAGAAAATCAAATGTACATCCATTCATTATTGGAAAATATTTATTCTGATTACATAAAATCAAAAAAAATCGAGAGTAAAAAAATTGTTGCGAAAAAGTCGTTTCTATCCATACGTATTTTTTTTCAATAATCTAAAAAACATACTTTAAAGTGTTTAAAATATGATAACTTAATTATAAATTTATTTTCGATTTACAGTATGATTGTAATAATTTGTATCAATCCTTATCTTAAATTGAGAGATTGAAAAGTAAGATAGAACAAATATGCTATTTATACATTTTATTTAAAAAAAATTAATTTCAAATTGATAGGAATGATGCATGTGCCAACACCATTTCTAAAAAATAAGATAGAATACATGAACACTACCAAAGTAATAATTGTTCCACCTATTGAAAAATTCGAAAAAAACGTGAGCTTATCTACAACTACTCAACCAACGGCTGATGAAGAAAAACAATATCTTGGAGACTTAATTTCAGGGACATATTGTTCACGAATATTCAGTGATTGTAATAAAAATAAATGTAGACTTCAATCACCAAACTTTCCTGGTCTCTATCCACGTAATTTAACATGTTATTATGCAGTATGTATATTTGACAACTAATGACTTGTTATATTGTAATGAATACAAAATATAGTATATTGATTTGTCGATTAATCAATTCAAGGTACGACAACACGAAATTCCTCCGGGAAAACATGCACTTATAACAGTTCGTCAACCACGAGGGCAATTAATAGCTGTCCGTGCAAGAACAGCAAATCAAGCTGAGCCACCGCCGCGTCAGCTTCGTCTTTGGCAAGATTGCGATATCGTTCAAGACTACGTGACTGTTTACGACGGCTACACTACTCGTGATCCAGTGATACTAAAATTTTGTGGTGGTGGAGAACCTGTTCCTGAAGCTACTAGTAGTGGAGCTGAAATTCTCGTAGAATTTACTACTTCTCCCTACGGTACTTTTCTTCATCCAACTCCACCACATTCTCTCCATGGATTTCAGTTGGAAATTCAGGTAATTTATTACCAATCACTTTGTTTCAAATATTGAATGAAAACCATTCTAATATCTTAATACAATACCTATACAATTTACAAAATAAGTATATTAATATGGATGGACAGGTGAAATTTGTCGATGTAGATTCGCCGACTTATGCCAAAAACAAACGATGTGAGTTCTGGTTAAAAGGTAATACTGGTGGAATTCTGACTTCTCCAAAGCATACTCTACCACGGAATACAACTTGTCTGTACCATCTACGTGGAGATGGACCAACTATTCCAAGTCCTACACCACCTAGGCCATTACCGAAATTTCCAGAAACTCGACCGGGAACTGTATGGAGAAAGCCTCCACCTAAACCACCCCAGCCACAATTCAGAGTGTGGCTCTCAGTTTTAAAATTTCACGTTGGTTCAAATCCAACGACTAATGATGATGATTGTAGCTCTACTCTATTTGTTTGGGATGGTGATATGATGCCGTTATCAGAATGTAACGATATATCTTGGTAATCATTAGTTTAATTCAATTATTTCTATGGTTTCTTTTGAAGAAGTGTCATAAATAAATTAATCATTTTTAATATATTTTAGTGAAAAAGAAAGAATGCGATACATGGAAAGAACAGGTGATTTGATAACGCCAGCAGGTGCTCGTCCAGCAAGTAATACTACTTTGCTCGCAAGATACTGTAAGGATAAAGTTCCTAAAACTTGTGATCATGCAATTTTGTTAAATACTAGTCGACCATGTTCACCTACTGAAGGTTTTATTTCATCTGGCAATAGTTTGACTATTGAAATACGTATGGATGAATCAACAGCTCTCAGGTTCGTATACTTATATAACATGTTTCATACACATATTTCATTTTCATTTTAACTACTTATATTTTATCAAAAACTTGCATGAATATTTCGAAATAAATTTTTTTCAACATATATCTCACGTTTAAATTGTACCATCAGAGTGGCAAAACTTTCACATGAAAATTTTATTTATAACTGAATTTTAAATAGTATTCCACACTATGTATAGTAATTTTAACTAAATTATATCTCCCAAAGGCCTGTGAATTTTCAAGCTCGTTATGAATTCGTGGATCTTCATCAAGACGGTGATTCTTATGGCAGTGGACCGTGCTCAAGAGTCTTTTACAGTAGACATCGAGATCAATATCCTGACCGTAAATTTCAAGCTCCGCGCAACATCTTTCTTTATGGACGTGGAGGAGCAAAAAATTTAAGGTAGTATAAAAATATAATAAAAAAATTAATTAGTAATTTATACTAGAATATTCTCTTTAAAATTTTTAGTAGTTTTTCTAGTTTTCTGTTATAATAATTGAAATAAAAAGAGCAACATAAATAGCCATTAAACTGGTGACATTTCAGTTGTATATATCGATTTGAAGGAGAACAGGATGAAGTTGTCAAGTTACGATTCAATAAACTTATAAACGGAAATCGTACGTGTCGTAGCGTATCCAGCAATGACTACAACCGTTTTCTTTGTATTGGTTCAAACAATTTTTCACTGAAGGTAATATCATCGTCTGTCATTTTATAATAATTGAACGATTATCGATATATTATGATTATTTTATATTCATTTTTTATCATTAGATTTTGGAACTGCCTTGGTCAAATGCTGCACCAGTTCAAAAAGATTGTCTCTGTTCTAATAAATCATTACCAATTAACATTAAGTCTTTATCCCACATTGTTGAAGTACACTTCACTGTGAACTTCATGAATTCACTTGACGATTATAACAATTTATTTTTTGAGGGGATCTGGGACTTTATCAAAGCTGTTCCATGTTTGCAAAAACGAAGAGTTCGAGGACCATCTGGTCAAATAAAATATGAATTACCTATCATTAATGAAGATGATGTAAGTATTTAACATATAACTTCATTGAATAATAATAAATAAAATGAATTCATCTAATTAATGAAAATGATGATTTTTTATTTAATTTAGAAAAATTGTAAAAATCATCCATGGTTAATTGATCCTAGTCCAGGACAATATCTTTATGTAAAGACGCATGGAGCAGTTATAAATAATAATACTAAGTGCCTAACAAGCAATCGAATAATTGTGCACGCTGGTGGAATGATCAATGTTTCAGTGTGTCCAAAACCACTAGTCGATTCAAGACATCAGTTTGTAGAAGTTTTCAGTCAAGGCTGGTCAGCTAACCGTAAAAAAATGATTTTAGCACCTGGTTTTGATCCAGCACGAACAATAGCTGTGGAATTTATTATGAATGAAGCTGATACGTACACTGTTTCATGGCTTGAACTCACTAAAAGGTATATAAAATAATTATACATAAGCTGATAGAAGAATCTCTTTAATCTATTTTAAAGTTAATTGACACAAAGTAATACTATAATTATTATTATTGCGTATATATGCTATCTTATGTGATGTAATTTATAGCATAAAATTTTATTCACTAAAGGTTGTTTTAATGTTACATGTTGTTAAATAGACAATTTATTTAAATTTTTAAAACTAATTTCTTTCATTAGTTTAGCATTGATTCATGCAATATGACTACTGTTTTTAGAAAAACTGATTTATTTGTCACAGACGACCGATCGAGATGATCCATGAAGATATTCAAGTTTCTTCTCATGATTGCGAGCAACACTGTCCAGAATTGAATGCTTGTATAAATGCATCATTATGGTGTGATGGTACTTCTCATTGTCCATCTGGTTACGATGAAGCTTTAACTCATTGCTCAATAATTCTGCGACTTCCACCGCTTCATTTAGCCATTGGAACTATAGTTATTTTTTCAGTAATTGGATCCATTTTCTTCATTTTTTGGCGTGTTCTTCGACGAAAAACTAATCGATCCATTTCGCAACATCGACTGAAAAGTATTTCATCTGAGACTGCTATAATTGATGGGAAAGAAGTTATATGCTGACAAAACGACAGTTCTGTGCGATACGTTGAGATTGATCGAGTGACTACGGTGTGACAATCACTACTTACTATCGTTTCGCTCGTTCATTACTTTATTAATAATATTAATAAATATCATTATCATTATTATAATAGATATAAAATATCAGGCTCAATGTTGCCTTATAATTCAACACCAAAAATTTATTATTTCTTAAATGCATTTTGTTATTTTCTAAAATATTAAATACATATTCTGTATAATTAAAAAAATACAGTTAACTATTTTATATGAAAACGAGCTGAAATTTCTACGTAACGCGCAGAACTGTACAATTTGAATAGTTAATATAATGATTATGCGACAAAATGTGTGCATCAAGATATTTCTAGTCTACCTTGTTCAATTTTTACTAATGAAAACGCTTCTATAAGCGAGATAAAAACACTGCAGCATATAACGTGTACATATTTTTATCGTAAATATTAGTTTACCATTATTCAAGTAATAAATTTTTCTTTTTTGATTTGTATTTTTTAATCAATTACTGTAAATAAAAATAAGTCAATTTCGATTAATAACTTAATTTAAAATGTAGATAACTAATAGGTTTATATGTAATACTTCTCGAAAATTCTCTCGATGCAAACGACTATCACTGTTATTCCACCTCTGATGAGTAAATATAAATTTAGTTTTATCATTTCTAATGAAATATAAGTCGAAATAATCTCGACATGTAACATTTTTCACATAATCTTTTAACGTTGACAATAACTTTATAAAAAAATATTGATAAAAAATGGAAAAAAAAATTTGTTAGAAATAAGTATGGATATTTGTGTCTTGAATCGAGAGATTTACGAATAAGTAAATATATGAAGGTATTCAATTAGAAATATGATAATATTTATGAGTTGATAGTATTTGAAAATAAACATAAAAAATCATCTTTAGTTAAACAATTTTAAGAATAAATTTAAATTGACATGTAAGTGTAACAGATGATACTAAATGATGAAAAATGTATGTAGTTATGTAGATGGTTATTTCTGCCATTAAAACTTTGTATTCACAAAAATATCATATATATGATATATATATATATGAAGTTGTTAAAAAAATTTATTTAGAGAATTTTTAAAATAAATTTATATAGACGTACTGACCAAATAGTGTGAATTGGTATTAAGGACATATTGAATCATTCAAGTGCTACTAAATATCTTTAAACAATATAACAATGAGTTAAGAAAAATAGACAAAAGGAAGAAATGTTGAAACGAAAACGAATAAAAAATAATAATGTGATAAATGCTTTTGTTTTTTACGGAGCTGTGCTTCGAATGTTGTTATACGTCAAGATTGACTTGAGCGTCGAATATTGATAGATAAATGTAGATAAAGGGATGTTTATTGATTTCGCACTTCATAAATCTATATGCGTCGTTATGCAGTAATAATGTACGTATATATTATTAATTAAATGTTTAAATAATGTTTTAAAGCCATCGTACCATCTCGCTATCAATATCAATGTGATTGAACTTGTAAATACACGTAATTTTTGAAGGTATAACATAGTTTTGTTCATTTGTCGATGTTATATTATTTATAACTAATAGTTAATAAACGTATAACTTCCGCGATAATTCCAATAAAACGGTGTGATATTTTTAAAGCATAACTATAAATATGTATAGTTTGTTGGTTTCTAATAAATTCACGTTAAAATATTATTTTCAAAAAATGATGTAACAATTACTAAATAACGAATATATAATTTTACATTAGAGAGCACATTTGGTGATTTAATTAATATACATATTCACCATTATTATATATAATAATTATTTATTTCATTGAAAAAAAAAAATGAATTAATTGAGACGATTAACTGGTTATCAAATAAGTTCAAACAAAGATCTCATTATTATTAATCAATATATATTATTGGACTCTCGAAGCTAACCGGTATCACAGCCATTGTTTTACACTAATGAATCTAATGACTGTTTACAGTGACATAATAGGAAAGAAAACGAAAAATTTTAATAAAAGAATGAATATAAGTATTTGCCATCATTATCGCCGTCATCATATGAAAATTAAAAATGCTTTATCATATTAAAAATTACATTTTCAATGATTGAATACAAAAATGTTAATTTATCGTTTTTCTAATTTTGTATTTTTTTTTTTTTTTATTGTCATTCGTACTTTTGTAATAATATATTTATGCGTGTATTAACATTAAATTTGTATATGTATAACGTATTTTAATATACGAAGCGTATTCTACTAATTTCGGGACCAATTGTGTTTATCGAAATAACATATTCATTAGATTAATTTCCATGGAAATTTGGATTTTAAAAGAATTATAAAGGTTGTTTTAAACCATTAATTTAATTTATGAAATAAATAATTGTCACATTACTTATAGACAATGACATTCTGTTATAAGTACGTTCAGAAATTTTTAGGTAAATAAATTTTTTAGAATTAATCGGAATGTTTTCAGATGTACATACTTTTAAAGAATAATGTAAAATCTATTCATGAATTTAGGATGCATATTTGGTCAATAAACAATAAGAATCAACATAGAATTATAATTACTAAAAAATCTGATAATTTACCAGGTTCATTGGGTAGACAATTTAATAGATATTTGTCGATCAAATTGGTAAAACAAATATACTATCCTGTGACGAATGTAAAAAACAAAGACAAATACATAAAAAAGAACAAATAAACAACCTGCAATTCTAGAACACAGCTTCGAAAGTAATGAATAAAATTTTATTGTTCATTTTTTTTAACTATTTCATTTCATATAATACATTCATTAGAAAAATTATCACTTCCATAATTTAAATTTTTCAAAAATCGTCTTCAATATAGATACAATTTTTAGATACGTTTTAAATCAAATTTTCAAAATCCCAATCAGTTAACAAACATTTTGCAAATTTTCATGTATAGTTTATTAGAAGAAGTAGAAAAATTTTTTATTATTCACATGATTATGCATTCAAATACCACATAGTAATGAATAATTGTTGTTAGACAAAAAAAAATTAGAAGAGGAGGTATATTTTTGAAAATTATCGTATAATTGTTATATTATAATTTTGTATTAATCTCAACTTGTAACTTCACTATTACCATCATTAAATTTAATTAATCTAATAATATAACAAATCTCTAATCTACTGAAAAAATAATGGAAGGTTGAAGATAAAAATATAATCTACAAAATTAATTATTAGAAAACAGATAATTAATTGACATTTGTTAACTTAAGAATGATAAAATTGTAATTATAGTAAATAGATAAATAGTAGTAAAATATATGAATGGAGTCAATAAATATTGACAATAATCATACGAAAAAAGTAGCAAGCTATGATAAATATTATAGCAGTCAAATTCGTATGGGAGTTGATACAATTTATGTTCAAACAGGATCTCAAATAATACCATACATAAATAATGTAATCAAATAATTGGAAATATTTCTAAATTTCAGAAAAACGTAAAAAATATTAAATAATTCATTATGAAATAAATTCTCAAAAACTATCAGCTTGAAGTGATTTTATTTCTTTGAAGCAATAAAAATAAAAATAGCACAAACAGTAGGTATGATTTTTAAGAAATCATTAATTATTACATAATTATATAATTATGATACGATCCCGTTACGCTAACATGACAAAATACATAGAATAAATTTTGTTTACTAACTGATGAAACTGTTAGTAATAACATTTTTAATACTTCTTCATGTGATTATTTCTTATTTTAGTATGATATTTTCTTTCAAATATACTCTTTTTTTTAAATAATATTATCCATCAAACCATGATTAATTTTTCGGTAATTATACGTACATTTGGAGATTCATATATTTTTTCCATTAAACAGATATATACATATCAATGAAATGACAATAATCTTACCACCTACTTATAACATTAAAAAAATTTTCTGAATATTTTATTTATTCTACAAGACATAAACATAAAAAAGAATATTATATTTAAGAAATAATTCGTTTTTATTATTCTTATATTAATTATTTATTTCATTCTATGGCTTGTTAAGATAAACATAAAATAATCAATTAAAAAATTAAAATTACAGTTTAATTTCTAAATTTAGTTTTTAATAAAACTAGAAATTAAATGAAAATTAAAAATATTAATATATTACTTATTTGAATCTTTTAAAAAGCAATGATATCTATAAATATTTAATCTTTCATTCATATAGTTGAGTAATAATAGTACCATGAATATTATACGTAGAGTTAATGTCTCATATCATTTTTTTGTTCTTAATAACTGTAGATGACGCTATATTGATACGATATCTAGTACAGATATATATTCATGTATTATTAGCATCTTGTCTCATAAAGACCACTTTTACCAATATATCGCACCCATTTAATAACATCATGATCAGAATAATTGAGCTTTGATTCAAAAACTTTTAAATATCGAACTTTGAAACCAGACGGTGGAAATGGCACCTCAAAGTTCATTGATATTGGTGGTCGGGTCCATTTCTTTTTTGTATCCGTTTCAAGTAAATCAATTTCAGCAGATAACTGGGTTTCTTTCATACCCGCCATACGTTTAATTTTCCATACAATTGCATTTTCTGATGCTTTATATTTAGCTTTACCTTTTAAACAAATCAACTGAACGCCAGCTGTATTTAATGGGGTTGGTACACGTACCTCAATTTTTTGTCCTAATAAAGAAGGTTTGAAGTTTGATTTGAGAACAGCTTTTACTTCCATTTTTGTACGACCGACTTCTCTTACGAGTGGGATCAAACGGAATGGCAGTGATATATCTTTCGTTGTACGATACCTATAATAAAGTTAATGTAATTAATATTATAGATAACTACTTTTTTTCGAATAAAATTGTAACTATTGATGCTTTTCTTTACTTCATTAATTCGAATTCACCATCTGGTGGTATGAAACTAATGGAATGTTCAGTTTCGAATTTAGATAACTTAACACATTGATGAAATTGGCAATCATCAATCACAACAACAGGTTTGCCAGAACGAGCACCTGTAGGATCGTCATTTCCTAATGCCCCACTACCCCCTTTCATACCGCGAGCATCCATTACAACTTTATCGTTAATACCGAATTTGCACTCAGGCATTCCTGATAAATATGACTTCATTACAACCTGTAGAATAGAATAGAATTATTTTTTTTTTAAAGTTTGAACTGAAATTAATTAATATTAGATAGAATTAATGACTTTTCCAGCAACATGAGCACTTAAGACTTGGCCCTGTGGACTCATCAGCAAATTCACATGTTCTAATACATCAAGGAAAAGTTCATTACGGCGGTACTTTATTCCTTCTCTTCGCCATCCTATTTGACCAGTAACTTGAGATGTTATTTGTGCTTGTTCTTCTTTCGTTGCTGACTTAACTCCTTGCTGAGTAATGAATGTTTTCAACACTCCTGTGTCGCAGTTTTGTGGATAACCAAAATCCAAAATTTCTAAATAAATTATAAAATATTTTAGTTTATAATGAATTACTTATACTCGTTATTGCTTTTCCAATCAATCATCAATGATCAATATTAATATCTTACCGTCTAATAATTCATAAATTAAAACGAAATTATTTTTAATGTTTTCTTCTGAAATTTTTCCAAAATAAGACTGCATAACATCGATGATTTTTAAAAGAAACTCGAAAACCATTGCTGCGTTAACATTTTGTTTAGTGACTGCAGCAAGCCATATATTGGCTCTTTTTATATGAAAGAATGATGTTCTTGCAATATTAGTGACAGGTGATCGTACTTGTTGTCTAGCATGAATGACGTTGACACGAAATGCATCAACAGCATTTCGTCCAATGTCATCTCGATAGACACGAGAAATTAATACTTCTCCTTTATGATTATATACAAAAAGACCTCCAATCATTTTATCGTTTAATAATTTCACTTGATTTTGATTGGAAATGACCTTATTCAGCTGAAATACCTATAAGAATAAGAAAAATAATCAGTGAAGAAACAATTAATATGACGATGGTACATTTTTTATTAAAAACTTATTTTATATAATACATCTCTGAAAAAAAATAATTTATAATTTAGTTTTATTACCAAAAGTATTTTAGATACATTGAGCTGAAAATATTTGTAATTATTAATCATACTACTGTTATATTGATTACCCACTGTTCTATCAAGAACTATTGAAGAAACTCATACTGGAATATTCATGCATAATTACAAAAGTAAATCGAAATCGAAATAAAGAATAGAAAATAATAAACTTACACATATTTTTTTATTATGTAAATCGAAATTTCGATTACATGATATTGCTTCACAAATATTTTTTAATTTATAAGTTTAATAAAAACCACTAACGTAAAATATGTCCAATGTACAGCTTACTGCAAAAGTTAGAAGCGCTGCTATCGCCGCTACTTCACAATCTACTAATACACTAACTATTTATGCTCACACATATGTTCAATAATCATCGAGAGTAGACGCCCACTTTGATTTGACTACGTCGGAGAAAAGAGATAATATATAGAAGAACCATCTTAATGAGAGCTCTTAGACGGTAATTTTTACCTGCTGTTATAGGGCTGGGGATACAAAACTGATGCTAAAATACGATGGTTCTTCTATATTATTTCTCTTCTCTGACTACGTCTCTGACTATAATATACCTCTTTATTTGTTAAGGCTGGGCTATAGACAGATTTCCCCCTAGAAAGTTCCTAACAAATTTTTCTCTACTAATGACGGCGTCAAAAATAGATGAATTTAATTAATTTAGGACTCAATCGAAAGCTTATTTTATTCTTCACATCGGAAAATAACAATATAATAACATTGATTACTTCATCATAATTAAAAATGAAGATGAAGATATGCACTCATTTTTCACTAGATTTTAGAGGTGTCATGGCGGATACCGCTGTCATCAGCCGTCAACGAGAAAATGATTTATTTCACAATAACTACTGTACCTATACTGTAAATCGTTGTTTTCCGATGTACACTCGGCGTGGGAGCGTGACATCCGTCCCCAATAAGATGTCAGTCAAAGGCATTTTTACAATCTTTTAAATTTGAATCTTTAAATGTATAATCTTACTGATTGTTAATCAAATTCTATGATGCCCAGATATTTTATCTAATGATCATTTTAAAAATAAGCTTTATTCTTTTAATCTTTTAAATTGGTTTTTTTTATTTTCAATCATTTAATATTCAATCAAATTATAAAAATTTTTCTTTTTTTAATGTTTATCATTTCGTTGAACAGTCAACTTAAGAATTTAGGACTGGTAAATTATCTTGCGTCGGTACAGTAGAAAAAAATTCAACTAGTGTCACTGTTTTCTGATAGATGACAGTAATTGTACTGTTTTCTATCAAAAATTCAAAATGCTTATACAAAGAAAAGTCTTCTTTCTGGCTCATGTAATGTCATGTAATTCCTACTACATGAATAAGGATGTTTAGGCTAATAATATAATGATAATAATAAATGATAATTTAAAATAGCCATGTAATTTTAATGAAGATTATACGTGAAGTTACATAAAAGAAACCAAGTCGTCCAGTTATTACACTGACAGAAAAAATGTGATAGCTAGAAAGTATACTAGCGGCAAACACAAAATATACTCAATTTGAGTATAATTATTTTTTGATGCAAGTACATTTTATATCAAAATGAAGTTTAAAGTGTACTGTACAATCATAATAACATTAACTTGATTTTAAATTTTTCATCACTCAATCCTAATATAATATTAATTTATACCAAGAATAGCGATTACTGCATTTTTGTAAATATTTTGCTTATCTCAAGTAGGTAGATAATAAAAGAAGATTACAAAGTTTACTTCAGTTGATAATATAGTTTTCTTACACTGAGGATCTTCCTTACTTACCACAAGTGTATTTTATACGGAGATCCCGTATAAAGCGTACTTATGCTAAGTATAATGCTGTTTTACACTTCAAAAACCATGTTCTCACATTATGAATCCTTTTTTATTAATAAGAAAATACTTGTTACTTGATTCAAGTATGTCAATTCTTCACTGCAAGTATATTATATACTTAAATTAAGTATACGAAGTACTCATGCTAAAATTTTTTTCTTATTAAATTTAAAAATTTCAAAATATAAATAATCATATTAATAATAAAAAAGTTACTGTTATACCCATTGGTATTGGTCAATTTAAATTAGTGACCATTACTGATGAAGTAATTTAATGATTAAATATTCAGTAATTAATAAATAGATGAAAAGTAATCTTATAATAATTACAATAATTACTGTTGTACTTTTAAATACGTGGAGCTGCTACACTTACACTGGGCCTGTTAAAAGTCTAACTCGTAATATAGCGCTCAGAGATAAATTATTGATTATAGAATCTTTAATAATAATTAATAATTAATTGCATGTCTATTAATTAATTCTAAAAATGAATCGAAATTTTACAGTGATTGGAACGATTATTGTGGTACATTTCAATACCTCAAGCTGCTGCAGTAAGACATGTTAGGAGCTTTAGGAGTTTATCTTTCAATCCAGCGTTCAGCTATAAATGGCTTAATGTTAAATCTTTAATAATCATAATAAAATTATTTAATGTTCATTGATTAATTTAGAGAAAGAATCATAATTGAATGATAATAACAACAAATTGGTGTTGTGCTTTTAAAAACTCCAAGTTGCTCCAGTTAGACTATGCCTGTAGAGTGTTTATTTTCCAACTTAGCGCTCAGAAATAAATTATTCGATATACTTACGGTTCGCGTGATCATTTCACTCGCACTTATGCTCTACTATACTCAGCGCGTGCGCAGAAGTTTTGTGTGAGTGCGAGTGAAGCAGAGAGATATGTATTGCTCTCTGTCGCACCCGTTAGCGCCAGAAGAGGAAAAGCGCGCTCGGGGGCCCAAATATTAAAACCTTTAACCAAAATGAGAACGATTTAAATAATTTATTGTCCAAAAAAATCATGAAAAAATTGATAAAAAAAAAATTTTTTTTTCTGAAAATGTACTTTAATATCTCATTTTTCGAAATAAATTGCCACAAAGTAATATTTGTAGCGTTAAGTGTTTTTTATTAATTTTCTTAGACGCGAATAGAGCTTTCATCATTAGTGAAGCTTCAGTCGCGAATAACTTTTTATCTATCATAAATATGAAAAAAGTGTTCAGTACTTTTTTCATTAAAATTAAATTCTGAATGACTTTTATTTAAAATATTTTTTCATATCTATGATAGAAAACGAGAAATTCGCGATGAGGGGGCGGTTTTTCGCGATTTACTCCCCTCCTATGCGTGCCAAACATTTTTGACCTACACCATCGTGTTCCTCGCGAAATTTTCGATCTAGTTATCTATAAATCATCACTTTGGCCGCAGCAAACCAAAATTATCCCATTTCCCTCATTTGATTGGACTACATATTTTAGCAATAATAATTGTATTGATACTTTTTTACTCCCCTTATTACTATATATATTTATATTTGAATATCAATTAGTGTTAAAAAAAGGTAATTGCAATCGAATTAATAATCCTTAATTCAACAATAGGTATTTATTGTACTATAAATTACTGTAATTATAGTACAATATAGTACAATATAGTACAATAAATACCTATTGTTGAATTAAGGATTATTAATTCGATTGCAATTACCTTTTTTTAACACTAATTGATATTCAAATATAAATATATATAGTAATAAGGGGAGTAAAAAAGTATCAATACAATTATTATTGCTAAAATATGTAGTCCAATCAAATGAGGGAAATGGGATAATTTTGGTTTGCTGCGGCCAAAGTGATGATTTATAGATAACTAGATCGAAAATTTCGCGAGGAACACGATGGTGTAGGTCAAAAATGTTTGGCACGCATAGGAGGGGAGTAAATCGCGAAAAACCGCCCCCTCATCGCGAATTTCTCGTTTTCTATCATAGATATGAAAAAATATTTTAAATAAAAGTCATTCAGAATTTAATTTTAATGAAAAAAGTACTGAACACTTTTTTCATATTTATGATAGATAAAAAGTTATTCGCGACTGAAGCTTCACTAATGATGAAAGCTCTATTCGCGTCTAAGAAAATTAATAAAAAACACTTAACGCTACAAATATTACTTTGTGGCAATTTATTTCGAAAAATGAGATATTAAAGTACATTTTCAGAAAAAAAAATTTTTTTTTTATCAATTTTTTCATGATTTTTTTGGACAATAAATTATTTAAATCGTTCTCATTTTGGTTAAAGGTTTTAATATTTGGGCCCCCGAGCGCGCTTTTCCTCTTCTGGCGCTAACGGGTGCGACAGAGAGCAATACATATCTCTCTGCTTCACTCGCACTCACACAAAACTTCTGCGCACGCGCTGAGTATAGTAGAGCATAAGTGCGAGTGAAATGATCACGCGAACCGTAAGTGTGACAAAGACACTATACGGTGAGGGAAGAGGGGATGTTTTGGGCTCATGCTGGTTACTTCAAAAGTCTTCCCAAGCTCCAACTTTATCAGCGCGAGAATTTTTTTAAGTTCTACGCGCTTTAAATGTTAGAGAAAATTTGTCAATTTTGGGTCCAATAATCATTTATATAGATCGATAGAGAATTAAATTTCCTGTCGATGTAGCTATACTTTTTTAGGTACTTTTTTCCGATTTTTTAACGCAAAAAATTAATTTTCTAAGAGAAAAAAAATTTATATCTCCTACATAATTATATCAATCAATCTTCAAATGTACATACATGTTCTTGACATATCTGAGAACATGTTTTTTTTCTCTTAGAAAATTCCTTCATAAAGTATCATTAGAATAATAAATGTTTTCAATATCTGATTGTTATATCATACAATGCAAGTTCTATTGTTCATGACATGAGAACGAACATGAAGAAAAAAATGAATTGATCATCAAGATATGATGGGAAAACTTGTTATGATTTTACTAAAATTGAAAATTTAATAAATAATCCTTCGTTTATGTTTGAACCAAATTAAAAAAGTTGTTACTGAAATTATTCAATAACTATCAAAGCAACCAAAAGATATTGATTCAAAATTTACTCTAAAAATTTACGTAAGGTTACATAAAAGTAGTTGATAAATGGATGAACCATTGCAGAGTAGATATTTCACTTTCATTCATATGTCTGAAATAGATCTCTAGAAAAAAAATGCATTTTTATGGAAAATAGGTATACAACAAAAATATACAATTTGATTCAATATTAACGTTAAAATTCATGAACTCACCGATAACAAGAATTTCTCTTTTGGCTCAATCGTCGAGCAGATAGTCGCAATTTTTTTGGATAGTCTAAATTATCTTTGCGATAACGACGTTCCATGGCTTTCATTTAGAAATTATTATAAAGTTATTGTCAACAATCAGTATGCTATTAATCATATGTATGTATTTATTTATTTATTTATTTATTTATTTATTTATTAGCAGAAAAAAAAGCTATACATAGAATATACATTTAAGTATTTAAGTATGAATCGCAATTTACAAACAAAAGAAATAAAAAGTATACATTTATCAAAAGTATTCTTATAAAGAAATAACTGAAAAAACAAAAATAAAACAAAAATAAAAATTCATTCGGATCAGATTAACAGTCTTATTGCACAACCAACTTAAATTTTATTACACTTGATTTCAGTCAATAACTGTCTTCGGAAAGAACTAAACACCTTATTATCTCTGATCTCTTTACTTAACTTATTATACAATAGAAACCCATTATAATCAATGTTTCTTTCTCCTCTTTTAGTCCTTTTTTTATTTACAGCCAAATCATCAGCTCTTCTGAGATCATACTTATGGCTTTTATAGGACACAATATCACAGATATAATTTGGAAGCATCTTATTGAGCATTTTATGTACAAAAATACAAACATTGAACTTTATTC